ATGTACCAGAATTTTTGTGATTCTTTTCTTCCTATCGTTTCCCTCCCCCTTCCTACTTGTCTCCCACTGCCCTGGTTCAGGCCTTTACTATCTCTTGCTTTGCATGTTACAGTCATCTCTGACTTATTCCTAATGGGACCTTTCAGCGCAGTGGATAAGCACCGTGGCATGGTGGTGATGGTGCTGGATGGTATAGATGAGGGGCACCTAGCCCTGTCTAGTGATTTAGGGGAGTGGTGAGAAGGGGCTAGAGAGGGCATCAAGGGGAACTTCTTGGATGTCAGCAGTGAGCTGACTCAGCAGGGGGCATGGGCATTAGCAAAGCATAAACATGGATTATCAGCATCTGGGCTGGGGAGTGAGGAGCGTGTGTGCGGTCCTGGAGGCAGGGGGCAATGTGGTGTGGTGGTTCAGAGGTGCATGCTGGCTCTGCCACTTCCTGGCTCTATGTTTTGGGGGAGAGAGACTTCTCCTCTCTGTGTTTTAGTTTTCTCATCTGTAAAATGGGGATAGCAATAATAGTTAACTCCTCGAATGGTGGAGGGACCAAATGAGGCAGCATGTGTTGAGGTTCTGACTTTGGTGGCCAGTCAGTGAGGAGGAGCAGGTGGAAGAGGTCAGTGCTGGATGTGTTGATGTACAGAGAAAACCAAATGTACAGGTTTGGAGCTAAGTGGAAAGATATTTGATTAAGACTGGGGGCTTTGTTTTTCCCGCCCCCACCCAGGGCCCAGCCAGCATAATGGTGTTGAGCTGGTCTCTAAGTGTCACCACCTGGGTTTGGAATCTAGCTTCACTGCTTGTTAGTTGTGTAACCTTGACCAATTATTTATTATCTCTGTGGCTTAGCTTTTCATCAGTAAAATGAGAATAATAACAGTACCTTGTTCATAGGATTGTTGTGAAGATTAAATGAGTTGATATATAAAGTGCTTAGGGACTTCCCTGGTGGTCCAGTGGTTAAGACTCTGTGCTCCCAATGCAGGGGGCCAGGGTTTGATCCCTGGTCAGGGAACTAGATCCCACATGCTGCAACTAAGACCCAGTACAGCCAAATAAATATATTTTTTAAAAAGTGCTTAGAATAGTGTCTGACACAATTCTCTTTTTGCTGTTATTGTTTTTCTTGGTGATGGGAAAGAGGGGAAGATAGGGGCGGAAGGAGATGCGAAATTCAGAGAAGTTTGTGATGGTTTAGGACTGAGGTGGTTTTGATTGCCTGTGCAAGGCCGTGTCAGTCCTGGTGTAGAAATGGGAGACGGGGCCAGTGCCCAAGTCTCCAGTGCCTGAGGGGCAGCGGTCAGAGGCTGGGAGATGTCAGCAGCGGGAAGGGGAGAGGGTGGTGACCAGTGGGAGGAACATAAAAGGAGCAGGGGCTCTTGCAGAGGGTGGAGGAATCACACGATCTGGATGTGGCAATAAATAACAATAGCCATAGCAATTACTTGTATTACTCTGGAAAGGGCAATGGGTAACAAGAGGAATGCCAGCTCTTTCTCCTTGGATCCATCCTTCACTTTGCAGGCACGTGTTCATTCATTCAGCATGTTTCTGCTGAGTGCCTGGACGGGCCAGCTACAGTCCTGGGCACCAGGAATGTGGCACTCAGTGTGACAAACCCGGTTCCTGCCTTCAGGGACCCCGCTGGCTGAGGGGTAACAGATGTTATTCAAATAATTGTGCAAGTCATTAATCAGTATAGATTGGATCCTGCCACTCCCCCAGTTCCAGAATCTATTCGCTCTCCACTGCTCTGGATAAAATCCTGACTCGTAAGCATGGCTTGGGGGCCTTGCAGGATCAGGCCCCCCAGTCCCACTCTTAGCAGCTCTCTTGCCCACTGTTGCTCCCTCATCCAGGCTTCTAGCCTCCCGGGACTGCTTGCTGTGCTCCAGAGTGACTTTAACATCTCCATCACCTCCTACCCCTGCTCATGCCCTCTTTCCACCTGGCATGCTCCTGTAGTCCTTCAAGACCAGCACAGCAAGCATGTCACCGTCCCTCTCTCAGCCATGGTCCCAGAGCATCTTGGACTTTTCCGGATGATAGCACTTCATGTCCAGAATCGGAATGGGCAGCGTGGCTCCAGTGGGAGGAGGTCATGACAAAGCTCCAAGTTAAGAAGGGCATGGAGAAAGGGGTCCTGGGAGGAGACTGTGTTGAGGGAACAGGAGATGCCCGTGGGTAGGAGGGGCATCTTGTGGTTCAGGAGGGGCAGCCTTGAGTGCCTGGCTGGATTTGGGGCACCTATTCCCTCCTTTTAGGAACCTTATGAAAAGCTTGGGCTCCGGGAAGAGGCAGCGTGTCCATGTTCTGAGTTTCTTCATGAGAGGCGTGTCTGGTGAAGTCATTCCTACCTGAGTTGGTGAATCCAAGGGTGCCAGGAAAATCTGATGTGGAACAAAGTGGAGTTGTAGAGCCCAGCCGTGGTGGGAGGGGCAGGTCAGAGAGCCCGTGGAAGTGTCTGAACCTTCCCTGTCTGGGAATGCGCCACGACTGCTGGTCAGGGCAGTCACCAGGGGAGGTGACCTCCCTCAGCCTCCTTCTGTCTATTTGAGATGAACCCCCTAACCCTTTGCTGATGTTTTGCTGGTGGTTCCTGGAGGGGAGCACCATATGGAGGTGCTAGGAGAGGGGAGACCATGCTCAGACAGTTGCACAGAAGTTAGGGATCCTCCCTGGGGCAGGTCTCAGAAATCCAGCAGCTGGACGTCAGATGGTCAAAGGTGGATCCAAATGGTAGCTGTCGATCAGCACCCGTGAGGTGGCTGCAGCCCGAGCCTTATGGGTAGCCATGGCCAGCAAGGTTAGCCTCTCCACCAGAAAAGCCAGTGCAGGCGAACCACTGCCTGGCCAAGGACCAGGCCAGGAAAGTTGGTGACAGTATTTCGAGTGGCCTGACTTAGAGCTGTGGAACCATCCCTCTTGCTGGAGGCTGAGGTCACTGTCAGGGGAGCCTGGGAGGGCTGGCAGGGGTCAGCATGGGACTGAGGCGCTGGCAGCTCCTGTCCAGGCTGAATTGTAGCCCAGCCCGGGATCCCCATGGGCTCGGGCAGTTAATCTCCAAAGGCCAGAGTCGCCACTGCCGGAGAGCAGAAACACTGAACTTTTCAATCACATTAATTTCCACAGGAAATTGTTGTCTTCCTTTTGTCCAAAGGTTAGTGATTTATATTTACCAGCCTCTTAACTAGCCTTGAAATTTACTGTTGCCAGGTCACCACCAGCGTCCATAAATCTCCGGGTGGCAGCTGAGCATAGCCAAGTGGCTTGATCCTTGGAAGAGTAAACCCTGGCCCTTTCAGGAGGGCAGATAACTGGCAACAGACAGTCCCTGCACAGAAGTCACCCCAAGGGGTGTGAGTACTTCCTTGGTGGGGAAAATGAGGGGAGGCCTGACTGACAAGGTTGCAGGGAGGCCTCCAGAAGCAGCCATGGAGGAGGCAGCTGGCTTGTGCCTCGGCACATCAAGGAAGGAGATGTACTTGTGGTGGACGGGGCTGGCAGCCCAGAACACCTCAAGCAGGTTAGTTAGGATCGGGAGTAGGAACCCGGTTCCCAGCTCTGCACTTCCTGTGTGACCTTAAGCAGGTAACTTAACCACTCTGTGCCTCAGTTTCCTCATCTGTAATAATATTCCCTGTAGTGTGCTGCGAGGATTAAATCTCAGTAAATACTGACTGTCATTCTGCTCTGTCAGGACAGGGTTTGGGTTGGTAGGTGCCCCCAGAGTCGGTCTGCCTCACTTCCCCACCTACACTGCCCTATCGGTTTCTCTTTAAAACCCTCTTCTTCCATCTGTCCATGGAATTAGAACAGGGGCTGGCCAACTTTTTTCTGTAAAGGGCTGTACCTTAGACCTTAGACTTTGTGAACTGTGTGGTCTCTGTTGCAGCTACTCAACGCTGCTGTTTTATTTTTTATTTTTTTTTCCATTTATTTTTATTAGTTGGAGGCTAATTACTTTACAACATTGCAGTGGTTTTTGTCATACATTGAAATGAATTAGCCATGGATTTACATGTATTCCCCATCCTGGTCCCCCCTCCCACCTCCCTCTCCACCCAATCCCTCTGGGTCTTCCCAGTGCACCAGGCCCGAGCACTTGTCTCATGCATCCAACCTGGGCTGGTGATCTGTTTCACCCTAGATAATATACATGTTTCGATGCTGTTCTCTTGAAACATCCCACCCTCGCCTTCTCCCACAGAGTCCACAAGTCTGTTCTATACATCTGAGTAATACTGCTGTTTTAGCTTGAAAGCAGCCATCAGTTCAGTTTAGTCGCTCAGTTGTATCCAACTCTTTGCGACCCCATGAGCCGCAGCATGCCAGGCCTCCTTGTCCATCACCAACTCCTGGAGTGCACCCAAACCCATGTCCATCGAGTCGGTGATGCCATCCAACCATCTCATCCTCTGTCGTCCCCTTCTCCTCCTGCCCTCAAAGCAGCCATAGACAGTATGTAAATGAGTGAACTGGGCTGTGTTCCAATAAAACTTTATTTGTGGACATTTACATTTCATGATTTTCACATCACAAAATCTTCTTTTGATTTTTTTCTAAAGCTATTTTAGAATGTTAAAAGCACTTTTATCTTTAGCTCAAAGGGCATATGAAAACAGATCATGGGTTGAATTCAGCCCATGGCTTGTATTAATATCTGTGGTTTGCTGATCCCGGGATTAGAAAGTGAAATTGCAGGGAGGAAGTGTTTTTTTTTGTTTTAACTTTTCTCACCTGGGCTGTCTCTGAGCGAAAAGCAAAGGGCCGTCAGGTGGCTTTTCCCGTTACCCTGCAGTGCCACCTGAGAAGCCTAAAAGCCAGTTGAAGTGAAGGACAGAGAAGGAAGGAGCCTCCCGGGCAGCTGAGGCGCAGGGGCTGGAAGGATGCCTAGGCCTGGCCCCTGGAGCTTCCCTGCCAGTCACCCTGCATGGGCCAGTCACCCCATCCCACACCCTAACTGCAGGGCTGACAGTCCTGCCCTGCTTGTGTTTCAGAGCACATCCCCGACCAAGATGGGAAGGAGGCTGGGACTCGACTCCCTTTGGTGATTCTCTTGGGCTGGGGAGGCTGCGCCGACAAGAACCTGGCCAAGTACAGCGCCATCTATCACAAAAGGGTGAGTACTGCAGGCGTGTGGACTCCCAGTGGGCTGGGGCCCCTTGGGGCCCCTCTGCGGGGGGCTCTCTCCGCCTTGGCTGCCCTCATCTCCAGGCTGCCGTGGAGGCTGACCACCAGTCAGGGGCCAGGCAGGCCTGGGAATGGCACCAGGACTGGCCTGTGAGGAAGATGCTGGGCCCATGGGGACTTGGGCAGGATTATTACCCTTTGCAGACAACTCTGTGGCCTGGTCTATCCCCTCCAGCTCCCTGACCTGCTCCCTTTTCCTTCCTCCCTAAACCCCACGGTGTCAGCCCATCCCCACTGTGCTCCCGGCTGAGGTGTCAGCCCAGACCTCAAGTCCCTCTGGGATGGTGCTGCCTTTCTGGGCAGCAGGAGCCTGGGTCGGGTATGCTGGGCATAGCGTGGACTCCTGGGGCTTCCTCCTTGTATCACTAGGAGAGTTTCTGTCCTAGGGTTGACCATGGCACCTTCATGTTTCCAGGGTAGAAGGGTCTTCTGGAGAAGAATTCAGGCCTGAGGTTTCCTTGCTTCATCTCAGGCCTCACGAGAGTTGGATATAGAGGTTGCGGTGATTGGAGCGAGCCTTGGGAGGGACTCTTATACCTGAGTACCCCTTTCACAGCTTTGGCCACTGGCCTGGCCCTGCCCTCCTCACCCAGGCCTCCCAAGGGAGGGAGGCAGTACAGACCACTGCCCCCACCCCCCAGCTGGAAGCCCTGCACTGAGGGGGAGTGGCAATCACCTGGGAGAAGGACCGGCTAGGGCCCCTCCCCGCAGCCTCCCTCCACTGACCCAGGTCTGCGCTGTGCCCAGGTGTGTGGTGGCCCTGCAATAGGAGGGGAGTTGGAGGCCTCCCCTCAGCCAGCAAGCCTGGTGCCCTGGTATCGCCTTACTCCTTAAGTAGTTTCAGCTGCTTCTGAATTCCACTCCCTGGGCAAGGCTACTTTGTCCGGCTTCTCCATTAGACGAAGATCCTTGAAGGCAGGCGGAGGCCAAGAAATAGGTGAGTATGGCCAGAATGGAGGACAAAAGGAAGGGCAAGTGTGAAGAGATGAGGCTGGGAGGGTCCTCAGGGGATTTAGGCTGGGGTGTGATGTTAGACTTGTGCTTCTCAGAGTCCTTCCCTGCCAAGTGGAAAAAGGATTGGGGAAGCCAGGTCCGGAGGCCACGAAGTGAGATTGTTGCGGTGGCCGGAACCTTGAGGCTGATGGTGCCGGTGGAGGGAAGTTGATGAATCAAGGGGCTTGTTAGGAGGCAGAGTGATCGGTGGATGAGAGACGGTGTGGGGACAGGCATAGGTGGGGATCCAGGGTAATGCCAGGTTTCTGGCTGCAGCAGATCCCTGGTAGAGGTAGGTGTGTCCTTTGAAACAGGGAGCACTAGGAGAGACGCCATAGGCTCTGGGCTGGATGAGATTCCCCCAGGGAGTGTGTAGAGAGCAAGGAGAAGAGGCTCAGGTCAGAACACAAGCTCTGAGGAGCAGGAGATAAAGAGGATCCACTGTGGGAAGGAGGAGAGGCCACAGGAAGAGAAGTAAACTCAGGGGAGCATGATTGAATCCAGAGGAAGAGAGTCTTAGGGAAATGGGCCAGTGACAGGGAGAGAGGAAGGACATTCTTGGGGTGGAAGGCATGGGGAGAAAGTGAGGGAGTGGAGAGAGAAAATGATCCCAGGGAAAGCAGAGGTGTTGAGGGGGCAGGGCTGCTTGTGAGGGGTCACCTGGGAAAGGAAGGGGTGCTTTTACCTTCTGGTCAGGAGGATGAGATGGGGGTAGAGAAGAAATTTTTCCAACCCCAAACTCCTAATACTTCATTATTTAAAAGAAGATAAAAGCATTATATTCTACCCCTCAGAGATGACCTCTATTTAACATCAGTATGTGTCCTTTCAGCTTTTATCTGTGTGTGTCTTTTCTTTACCTAAATAAGATTTCTTTTTTTTTTCCGATTGAATTAAAAAATATGGAACGCTTCACGAATTTGCGTGTCATCCTTGCGCAGGGGCCATGCTAATCTTCTCTGTATCGTTCCAGTTTTAGTATATGTGCTGCCGAAGCAAGCACTAAATAAGATTTCTTGAATACTCTATTTTTGTATCCTGCTTTTTTTTGGACTGTGATTCCCACTGTCCCATGTTAATATATTTTAATCTCATCAAGTTTCCAGTCCACAGTCAGATTCTCTGATAGTCACTAAAGCGTCCTTTACCGCTGATTTTCCTAAACCACCAGCCTCCAATCCAGGATCACCCATTGCATCTTATTATTTTGTTCCTTAAGCCTCTTTTGTCTAGAACAGTCCATCCCCTCCTCCCCCCATATTGTTATTGAAGATGCGGGATCTTAGTTCCCTGATCAGAGATCTACCTGAGACTCCTGCGGAGTGTGGAGTCTTAGCTACAGGACCACCAGGGAAGTCCCAGAGAGTTTTTCTAAGAGCTTGTGATACCAAATGCTGCTGGAAGGAAAGTACGACGGGGGCTGAAAGGCGTCATGGGATGGAGCCCTTCGGGAGGATGTGGGCGGCCTTGTTAAGAGCAGTGCAGCCGGCAGAGTGGAGTCCACGGGAGGGGACCAAGGAGAGAGGGTGACTGTCAAGGTTTGTCTAGGAAGGTGAAGAGAGGGTGGGACAGACTTGGCGGGGAGCATGGTGTAAAGGCAGAGGCTTTAGGTTTTTTTTAATGAGATTGGTTTGTGCAGGAATCTGGAGCGAGGAAGAGACTGAGAGTACAGGAGGTGAGGACGGATGGAGCAGGCTGGGACTGAGCAAGCGATCAGATGGAGATGGATGGCTTCCAGGGAGAGACAGGAGACTGGGATCTGACAGGCGCAGGGGCTTCTGGGAGCATTTGGCTAGAAACAGCAGAGGTGGAGGCCTCAAAGTGAGGCCCAGGGAGGCCCCGTGAGCACACTGCACAGGAGCGTTGGGCGTTCGTAAGGCCCGCTGTGCGTGTGCTCCCACCGGCGACCTGGAGGTAGAGAGCACACACGCCCTCAGAGATGGCAGGTTCACAGGCACGGCTGAGTTCATGCCTACACCAATAGGTAGTTCTGCGTGGGAGTGCTTCTGGGGAGGAGTGTGTGTGTGCATGCGTGTGCCCGTGCATGTGTGTGCATTCCTGAAGGTGGTGTGTGTGCTTGTGGGTGTGCTTTGGCAGTTGTGTGCACCTCACAGGTGGTGCAGTGAGTACTCTAGTGTGTACTAGGAGTCATGGGCACCTGCATCTAAGGGGTGTGAGGTAGAGAGGCTGTGTTTTTTTTGTTGTTGTTGATTTTTTTTCTTTTTTTTTCCATTAGTTTTTATTAGTTGGAGGCTAATTACTTTACAATATTGTAGTGGTTTTTGCCATACACTGACATGAATCAGCCATGGATTTACATGTGTTCCCCATCCTGATCCCCCCTCCCCCCTCCCTCCCCATCCCATCCCTCTGGGTCATCCCAGTGCACCAGCCCCAAGCACATGTCTCATGCATCCAACCTGGACTGGCGATCTGTTTCACACTTGATAATATACATGTTTCGATGCTGTTCTCTCAGATCATCCCACTGAGAGGCTGTGTTTAGTCCCAGGAGTTGCGTGTGTGTGGTGGTGGTGGTGGTGTGGAGTGTGTTTGTATTCATTGGCAGTGTGTGTGTGTAGGTTGAAGGTGGGTGGAAAGACATTTCACAGCACCCTGGGGAGTTGGAGCAGAGCGCTTTGTGAAGTTTTCCAGAGCTGTGGGGCCAGATGGCACCCATGACCCCTCGCTTCTGTCTTGAGAAGGGTGGTCAGGTCCTCTAGGGCCTTGGCAACAGCAGAGGTGGCAGGAGCTGGGGCTCATGTGATCACAGTCAGCCAGAGGGGAGGAGGTCAGGGGGCTGTGGCAGGGTAACCTCAGCTGACTGTCTCTTTCTGCCTCTGGGTCATTCAGGTACTGCGCCCATATAATTTTCTCCTTGTTATTATTCCTGCCACCACTAATGACTGCTCTTCTTAGCTGGACCTCTGTGCCAAGTGCTGTTTGGGGGCACTGGAGATACTTTTTTTTTTATTTAATTATACTGTAATCCCATGAGATGGATGTTGTCCCAGCTTACAGAAGGGAACACAGATTCAGAAAGATGAGTTAAATTCATCTATACTGTTTATAGATGCTGGTCACAGGAACTGAGCCCAGAACTGTCTGACCCCAGGGCCTGTGTAACTCAGAGTCCCCTGACAAAGAGCCCTGTGTCTCTGGCACGCGTTAATGGCAGAGGGTTAGGACTCAGGGTGGCTTTGGTCACCTTCTCTAATTGGCTTAGAAGGGCATCTGTGTGAGGACCTTGAGGTGTACTTTGACCCAGGCATTGAGGGATACAGAGGCCTAGAGATCTTTTAGCTATTTTAGAATTTGAGGAATAATGCATTTACTGTACTTGGAATTTCAGGGAGAGCGAGGAGTGATCCCAGGCTTCAGGACCAGACAGGACCCTGCGAGGAAGGTGGCAGTGGCCAGAGACTGCGGCCCTGTGGGCCTGGCTCACATGTGGCCTCTAGTGGTCAAGGCTGGGCCTGCAGGCTGTGTCTTGGATGCTGGGTCTCCTGGGGGCACCTGCTTGTCCCTGGGAGGCAGGGACCATGCAGAGCAGAGTGGCTGCAGCAGGGTGTCGCCAGGCAGTGAGGCCTTAGTGTGCCAGAGTTGATGAGATGAGGGTACAGGGTCATGGGTGGGAGGGAGACAGCAGACCAGAGTGAGAAGGCTTCCTTCTGGTCAGCCCAGAGGCCTCCAAAGTGAGCTCTGGGCTCTAGGCCTCAAGGGCTTGGCCAGCATGAAGCAATTATTCCACAAATGGGCCTGGAGTGGACCTTCCCCTCTGTTAGGCACCAGTGTCTAGGAGAGGTGAGCATGCACCTAGGCTGCAGCAGGGCCTGGAGGACTTCCAACTTATGGGCCTGTGGAAGTGAGAGCTGCTGGACCCCTCTGACCTTAGCTGGTCCCTGCCTCTCTGCCCGACACCATCCCCGAGGACCAACTGGGCCTCTCTCCTCTCCCCAGGGCTGCATCGTGATCCGATACACAGCCCCCTGGCACATGGTCTTCTTCTCCGAGACCCTGGGCATCCCTTCACTTCGTGTCTTGGCCCAGAAGCTACTTGAGCTGCTCTTTGATTACGAGGTTGAGAAGGAGCCTCTGCTCTTCCACGTCTTCAGCAACGCTGGCGTCATGCTGTACCGATATGTGCTGGAGCTCCTGCAGACCCACCGGCGCTTCTGTCACCTGCGTGTGGTGGGCACCATCTTTGACAGCGGTCCCGGTGACAGCAACCTGCTGGGAGCTCTGCGGGCGCTGGCAGTCGTCCTGGAGCACCGGCCTGCCGCACTGCGCCTGCTGCTCCTGGTGGCCTTTGCCCTGGTGGCCTTCCTGTTCCACATCCTGCTCGCGCCACTCACCGCCCTCTTCCACACCCACTTCTATGACAGGCTGCTCGATGCAGCCTCTCGCTGGCCTGAGCTCTACCTCTACTCCAGGGCCGACGAGGTGGTCCTGGCCCGGGACGTGGAGCGCATGGTGAAGGCGCGCCTGGCCCACCGGGTCCTGGTACGCTCTGTGGACTTCGTGTCGTCCGCACATGTCAGCCACCTCCGCGACTACCCTACTTACTACACTACCCTCTGCATCAACTTCATGCACAGCTGTGTCCACTGCCCTCCGCACCTCACCTCTGCCCCAGAAATAAATGCCTGACTCTTCCCCACAACCTACATCCATGGGTGGGGTCCTCTACTGGTACAGCTCCCTGCAGCTCTTGGGGTCTTTGCGGTCCTCCCGATAGAGAATTCCCATGGGCCTCTGCCCTGGGGGACCATGTCAGTCTGTTTACCCCAGGATCCTGGGGGCAGTAGTGCCTGTGCAGGTCTCTGCAGGAGCCTTGCAGCGCTTGTGTTTGCTAAGTGCAGCAGTCAGGCTGCTGATGCCTGTGGCATTTAGGCTGTGAAGGGTTAATAAAGCTGGGGGTAGGGTGAGGCTGAGCCCCAACATTGATCTTTGATTGCTTGAATGGAAGGTGAGCTTTGCAGGGAGGTGTTGGAAGGTAGGGGAAGGCTGGGGCAGGGGCTGTGATCTGTGCTCCCAGGACCTGGAAGGGCAGGCTTTGCCCCCAAGCCTGGAGCCACATCCCCTAGGATCCCACTTGGCAGTCCACTCAGGCTTCTCATTGCCAGGGAGTCTGAGGTGGAAGCCATATGGGGAGCTGACAGGTGGGGGGGTGGTCTGTCCAGGATCCACTACACTTTGCCAGGAAGCCACTGGACCCAGGGAAGTTGCAAGATGTGTGTGGAGTGGGCAGATGGCGTGGGGAGCAGGAAGACAGCAGCACCAGATGGGAGCTGGGACAAGCTGAGTTAGGAGTCCTAAAGACCAGAACCATTGGCCTTCATCTCCTTGAGGGAGACCCACTTGGATCCTCTGTAGACAGGAGCAGTGGCTTCAGCCTTAGAATTCTGTATCATCTATCATCCTACAAGTCACTGCTGCACAATACTGGCACATAGTAGGCATTCAATAAATATTTGTTGATTGATTGAGCTTACTGTGGTGATCCCTTCCCAGGTGGTGCTGGTAGTAAAGAACCCGCCTGCCAAAGCAGGAGACATGAGACGCGGGTTTGATCCCTGGGTTGGGAAGATCCCCTAGAGGAGGGCATGGCAACCCACTTTAGTATTCTTGCCTGGAGAATCCCATGGACAGAGGAGCCTGGCAGGCTACAGTCCATAGGGTCACAAAGAGTCAGACACGACTGAAGTGCCTTAGCACACTGTGGTGATCAAGGGACTTGGGGGGCAGGGATGGTCTTTGAAAGTTTGACAGTCAGTGGAGATGGCTGGAAGAGCTCTGGGTGGGAGCTGACCCCGGATAGTCTCAGGGCTGATGCACCTTCTGTCTCCAGAGCTCAGCTCTCCCTGCATGGCTTCAGCCCTCTGGGATGGCCCCTCAACTGCTGCAGCCCGTTCCTACTGTGTGTGGCTGCATTCCTAGCCATGGCCAACAGGTGGCAGTGCTGCCTGTGCCATGAGATGGAACTCACGGCTCCCACAGCTGGGCAGGTTTCATGCCCTCACTCTGGGTTAATGTCTTCTATTAGAGAGCATTTGGCCCCCGGGGTGAAAGTAACCAGCCATCAAGGACCTACTGAGTCCAAGGCAGGGAGAAGGGAGAGTAGAAATCCAATAGGAGCCAGCTTGATGGGAACTGGGCGTTGTCCCCTTCTTTTCTAAACTGTCAACCATCACTGGAGTCACTCTGCTCAGGCCACATACATTTTCCGAGTCTTGGGCCCCAGGATCCTTGCTTTCAGAATATTTGGTGCCATCAAGCTGGGCCTGGGGCTGTGAAGGGCCTTCACTGGACTCCAACCAGGGTGATTTGTCATCTGGGTGCAGAGGTGGACAGAACTGGCAACTGGACCTGATTCTATAGTATTCACTGCGCATCCCAGAGGAGATGGGTGTGTCTAAGAGTTGGGAGGCAGGGTCTCGTGTGTGTGAGAACATGTGAAGTAAAGGTGTCTGGAGTCATGAAGATACTCTGGGGTCTTGAATTTTAGCAGAACCTTCTGTCAAAATAAGCTTCCTGTGGTGGGCAAGACCTCCTCTGCAGCTCTGAGCACCTGCCCAAGCACCCAGACAATTGCTCGCTCCCTGGTACGGGTCAGCCGTGAGGATCACCGCTTGGCCAAGCTCCATCTCAAGTGGTGGCTGCCCAGCTTCAGTTCCCTGACTTGAGGGTCCACCTTGGATAAAGGTGGTCCTTATTGTTCGTTTGATCTGGGCAGTAGCTATAGCAGGCAGTGGTCACTAGGATGGAAAGCAGACACCGCCACAGGGGACTAAGATGGTGACTTTGGTCCCTGGATCACTTCAAGGACTAGAAAGGGACAGAGGTTTGGGGATTATGTTTTCACTTGAGCTTACAGACTGTTCCAGCCCTAGACCAGGGGATAGAGCTTGCATCCCCTCCGTACCCCCAAGCTCTGACCTCTCCTGTGATTAATGAGCTGACGATTCTGCATCGATAAGGAATTAACCTGGAGCCCCTACCCATCAATAGTCAGGAGTCCAGGTCCTGGCCCCACCCCCCACCCGACAGAGCTCCAGGGCCCCAGAGCAGACTAACCCCACACTGCTTTACAAAGCCATAGCCAAGTCCTTTTCCCCACATGGCTGCCAGGAATTAACCCCTTAACTGCCTCTGTTCCTACCACCCCATCATCTTCCCCTCCCTGTACACATGTACAGAGACAGCAGCTGTTTATACTGGTTTAATCCATGTCAAATGTAGTTTACAAAGGGAAAGGACAAGTACCTTTGTATAGAATATACAGACACAGCATCACACCATGGGGCCCACAGAAGGGCAGGGGAGACCACACTTTTCCTGGGAAGAGCAGCTCTAATCCCAGGAAAGGTTCTCTGCGGAAGGCTGGGGAGCCAGAAGCACCTTTGTCCAGCTCAGTCTCAGCCCCTGCTTCAGCTCGGTTCCCACGTCTGTGCCTCCCCCCTCCCCCAACTCCTTACCAAGAGCCCCAGGAGCTAAGACTAAGGAGAGGATCATGTCCCTTGGGGCACGTGCCCCACGTCTGGGAGAAGAAATATACACCACTGAACACCGAGCACATGGGAGAGGGAAGGGACACCAGGGAGAGGGGGGTGAGGCAGGCACCCCAAGGGGTGGATGGGCCGAGCCCCCAGCCAGCCCTGAAGGAGGCACTGCCTCCAGGCATTCTTAACAAAAGAAGAAAATCATACAACCAAAGGAAAGGGGAAGGGGTAGAGGGCGGGGAGTTGTCCCATTTATACACAACATTGTAAACATACACGGTCTATATTACATGTGCTTCAGTCTGGTGTTTGCATGTCTGTCCGTCTGGGGGCTGGATCTCAGGAGCCTTGCTTGACAATACTCCCCCCACCCCCACCTCCCTGCCCCACCCTGGGAACAGAACCCAGAACAGGTATGGTCCCCAATTTTGGTGGGAGCCAGTAGGCAGGGCCTGGGCCTCAGCCTCCATTCTGGCTCCAGAGTCCTGTGTGTGTGCATGTGTGCGTGTTCATGTGTGTGCATGTATGTACATGGGGAACCTGTGTGCAAGTATGTACAAGGGGGCATCTCGTCACAGGCGGGGCAGGTAGGGCGCTTGAGGCAAGGCCTGCTTGGGGTGGCCAGCTCACAAGTAGATTCTCCGCAGGTCTCCGGGCGCTGTGATGGTGTTGCACTGAGGGCAGAGCTTCTTGGCACCCTGCGGGGAGAATGGGGGCGGGGGAGGGGCCCTCCGGTTAAACCCTGGGCCACACATTTGATCGTGTGAGCCCGGGCCTGCAGCCTTGTCTCCCTGCACCAGTTGTGTGCCAGGACCTCGTGGGCTTGTCTGCGAGGGCTGGGGAGGCCTGGGCGGCCTCTGTGAGCAGGCAGGCACGCTCCTGTGTTGGGGGGACGCCAGGATCAAACCGCCTGGCTAGGCCCGCAGCGGGAGCCCCGGTAATGAGAACAAGGCTGGGTCCAGCTGTGGCTGCCGCGGCCCTAACGAGATTACACGCGGCCTTTGATCAGGACACAGAGCCCACGTCCGGGCCTTTTATTGCTGTCTCCGGGCGACATTTTAATGGCTGCTCCTGAGCGAAGAACAGGGGCAGGAGCAGAAGGAGCTTAGTAATGGGAGGGGGAGGGGCTGAGGCCCTGGTCCTGCTTACCCACACCCAGCCTCCTCCTGACGGGGGATCTCACTGCTATGTGTAACACGGGGGTCTTCCAGGGTGGGGGCTGGGTGAAGGGACCAGACAGAGACCCCACGGATGGGGAGACCTGGATAAGCCTGGTGTGGGGGAGGGGAGAGGCTCATGAGCTTGGGGATGAATATCCTGGATTCAGGCTGTGGTCTGTGCTTCTGCTCCGCCTACTCCTTGCTCGTTCTCCCCCCAGGCAGGCTCAAGCATAAGCACGGACATCTGGGCAGTAACCCAAAAGGCTACCCACTCCCAACCCCCAGACCACTTCACCAGGGTCCGCAGCCAACACTCCTCACAGTGCACATGCCAACACTGGATGGACGTCAGGGGCATCGAGTATGAGTCCTAGGGAGAAGATGGGCAGAGAAGGGAGGGGTCACTCTGAGGCATCCCACCCTCCAAAGGGCCCAGCTTGCCGGGCAGAGACCCTCTCCAACCCCAGGGAGCACTGAGGCCCAAGTAGGGACATGCGAGGTTTCCTTCCTCTCACCATGCAGATGAGGCATTTGTAACGGTCCCCACGGGATAGCTGCCGTTCAAGTTCCCTGACCCGAGCCTTCAGGGCCTCAAACGTGGTCACAGCTGAATCTTCAGTGATTCTGTAAGGAGGATGGCACAGTTGCGCAGGCAGCAGGCTGGCATCTCTAATTTGAACCTCCAGCCCACAGCTTCCCTGGATTCCAGAACCACATGTACTCATGTCTCTTAGACCTCCCTGCTCCCCCATCCCACTCACATCCTAGATCCACAAACTCCACCTTCCAGACCCGTGCCCCTCACCCGCCTTGCTCCTCCACCTCCATCCTGGTGAATTTCTAAACCAGACACCTGGGAACCATTCTTGACACTACTCCTTCCCAGTCACCCCTGACATCCAGCTCCTCACATCTGTGGCATCTCCACTTCTTTCCACGCTACCAGCCCTAGTTCAGGTGCTCATGACTGTGCATTACACCAACCTGAATGGCCCCTCTGCCTCCAGTCCCCATTCTCCTGGCACCTACAATTCTGCAAACCCGACCACTTCTACTGACACTTCCAACTTTTCAGTGTCTATCTCAGAGTAAAGCTCTAGCAAACTCCTATAAGCTTACAGGGCCTCCTTGGCCTGCTCCCCACCAGCCATGTGCCTCAGCACCCTGCCACGTGCCTTACGTTCCATCCATGTCAAATGCGAGTTCTTCCACATGCCCCACCATTTTCCACTCCATTGGCCTCTCAAGTACTTTCTGCTTCTGGATCACCGCACCCCCTAACTCTCTAGTTCCATCTCATCATTTAGGCCTAGTTCCCACCTCGGCCCAGAAACCTTTTCCAAGCCTCGGGCCAGTACCCCACTGGTGGGGCTGCCCCTTTTGTGCTCTTCCACTGTGCTGGACTTCACTACAGCAGTACAACTGCAAATGCCTGTCTCCTCTGCCAGACTCGCTTCCCTGAGGGCAAGATGATCACTCCACCAAAACTGACTGGACATCAGCCCCACTCCAGGCATGGGAGTATGAGTAAACACCTGCTGAAGAAATAGCTGGTCTAACCCCCAGGGAGAGTGACAGATGGAGATCTGAGGAGGCCCACATAATCTAGGTCCCTGGGCTGGAGGCCTAGCCTACATTAACGGCTCCTAGCTGTTTTTTCCTAGGCATGTCAGATGTCCTGGTGGTCCTCACCTGTTGTCCAATCCCTGCACAAACCCTGCAACTTCCTGAACTCTCTGAGCTGCAATACTGAATAGGGAACAGCTTGGACAATTCTAAGGAGTGATCTTTCCCACCACTCCTAAAACAAGTCAACAGAACCCAGAGGAACTCAGAGGGGGAGGAATGTTTCCTGGAGGAGTAGAAAAGATGGTACCGGAGATGAGCTTCAGGGAATAATGATATAATACAAATAAAAGAGCTAAATTTTATTAAACACTTACTAAATGCCAGGAATTTTACCAAGGGATTAAAAATTATTATCTTATTTACACCTCACAAAAACCCCATGGGGAGATCCTAACGTTCCCGTTTTATATACGGAGGAACACTGGAAAAGACCCTGATGCTGGGAAAGACTAAAGCAAAAGGAGAAGGGGGAGGCAGAGACTGTTAGATAGCATCACTGACTCAATGGACATGGTTTGGGAGACAGTGCAGGACAGAGGAGTCTGGCATGCTATAGTCCATGGGGTGCAGAGTTGGACACAACTCCACAAAAACAAAGGCACAGAAACATAAGCAGACTACCCGAGGTTCACGCACAGTGGGGGAGATGGGATTCAAACCCCGGGAGACTGATTCTGGAATCAACCAGTAACTGTGTGAATAACCATTACTCTACACTGGCTACAACCAGGAGGAGATAGGCCTCCAGGCTGAGAGAACAGTGGGAACCAAGGCCAAGGGCCCCTGGCCCCCATCTGGCTGGAAGGCTCATTTGTGGATAGGCAGAAGGTTGCTACACTGGGAACCCAGTGTCCAAGACCTCAGATGCCACAATCAGAAAGGGAAGTTTATCTTACACTCAATTTACAGGAAGTTGTTGAGGATACTGGAGGAGGGCTGTAAAGGATAACAGCTGAGGTTTAGAAGGTGTATTCAGTCAACTGAAGTAGACTCACAAGGGCGGTGTGTGGGCGAGGACCATCTCCTAGGAGGTGGTCTATCTTGCCAGCCTGCGGGGGGGGAGGGGGCAGTGGGCCCAGAAAGCCTGAAAGCTTCCAGGCAGTCTATCCCTGTTGGGCACAGGTGTAACAGGGAACATGTGGAAGATGGTGGGAAACACTTAAAGGGCAGCGGCAAACTCTGATCTCTGACCGTCCTCTCTTAAAGGGGCACCAGCAGTGACACAGAATGTGTCTCCCTGATGCTGTGTCCCTGTATCAGAGATGCCCCAGATCCAGCACGTCAGCAGTGCATGGTTCTCTCTGCCTTGCCTCTCTCCAAGCAACCTGAGAAAGGCTCTGACCGCAACTCCTTCTGGAACTGCTGGGTTTCCTGGGAGCATCCCTTCAACTTTCCAGCTCTGGAAAGCCTTTACCATACTCTCCTTCCTCACATGCACTTGCATAGCTGAGTCTTCCCCCTGGCATTTTGCCCAATGCTGTATGTGCCACCCCCATCTGGATTGCTGGTATGTTCCTGGCAAGGAGACAAGGATGGGTAGCTGTGCTTCCTTCCTCTCCAAGGACCAGGCTAATCTGGTGTGGTTACTTCAATGATTGGGAAACCAAGGCCTGGAACTAGGGACAGCCTACGCCAGAGTAGAAAACTAACTCAAAAACCCTAAACCAGAGAATGAGCTAGAGCTGGGAAGGCAAAAGCCATGAGTCCAGAAGAGCCATTTCCCACTCCCATCTCCAAGGCCACTCCATCCCCATGGTGGATCTGCTCAGCGTGTAACTGGCCTCTACTCTTTTGCTCTAGTGAAATACCCAGTCCTCCAGGCCCCTGATCCAGGGAGGCTATGAGCTATTCTGGAGCCTCTTGAAGGCATGGGGTGGAGAATTTCTTGGAAGAAGCCATGTCATCCTGTGTTTCTCCTTCCCCTGGATGTGAAAAAGATCCAAGATGGGAACCCATAACATGTCTGGGAAAGAGACATCATGGGGACTGAAGAGCCAGACCCATTGGAGATCTCTACACATGACTGAGCTGGTCCCCAACTCATCCCCGAGGGCCCCGCCCACTGGTGCCTGTGCTCACACAGGTGGGACAGAAAGCCCAGCTCCCCCAGCCCTCAGTGGGGTAGGACCTTCATGGATGGCCACTGGCTCTGGCCCCCACCTCCCCCTCCGGCGCCATTCCTGATTAATGATCTTGTCTTTCTGATTTATGAGCAGCCCCTCCAGATGAGGGTGGGCGCCCCTTACAGCCCCGCCCGCCCCGCTCAGCTGGAGTAGGAGAGAATTATTAAATAAACATCCATACGTCATTCCTCTCCCCCCAAGCTGGTTGCACCGAACCCGTGCGGCCCGCTCCGGCGCTGACACGGAGCAGCTGCGGTGATTCATGGGCAGCCGGGCCCTGCGCCGCGGCCCATACATCATGCCAGCAGCACTCGCGGCCCTGGCCGAGATAAACTGATCAACCACAACGGGCTGGAATGAATTTATGACAACACAAAATGGAGGGAAACAAATGGGAGGTGACCCTGGGCCACCGACCCGGCCCTGCACTGGCCTGCAATCCACTCTCCTGGCAGGAAGCAAGATGGAACACTGGCCCTGGAATGAAGAGGCTGCCTTTTAACCCCGGGCAGCCTAGCCTTCAGAGGAGGGAGGGGCAGGTGTGAGGAGTTAGGCAATAGCCAACAGCGGCAGCAGCTCCAGGCAACCAGAACTGGCCTGCCTGGGCTTCTGGAAAGGCAGTAAGGTGTGCTGCTGCTTTCGAATCCTGGTGGCTCCTGGGGATTCAGGCCAGGGGTGGCCCAACCCTAGGGGAAGTGCTAAGGGATCCCCTTTTCCCCTGCCAGAGAATGCAGGCCAAAAACTCCTACCAGAAGTGATAAGACCCAATACTCCTGCCTAAAACCCACACTGCAAGTGCCACCCAGGACAAGAAAAATGAAACCAATTTAGCTCCCGATTAAGAAACAGAAACTGGAGATGAATCAAGTGTGCCGGCTGGGCTGGGCGGCCATACATCACATTCCCCGGGCGGAGGCCCCTGCAGCAGGCAGGCAGGCAGGCTGCCTGCTCCTCCCTCCACCAAGGCTCCCGGGGCCGTGGCCCAGTGATCAATTCAGAGAGTCATGCTCAGCACCAGCTGGGCCCCACTGCCGGCTGTGTGCCAGGGCAGCAGGCCTTCCTGTTGGTGAAGGGCCCCCTCCCTCCCACTGAGCTGTGGTCCCTTGGGTCGGTCTCCCTCCTGGCCACTCACTTCTCAATGTCACTGTTCTTGCAGGTCTTCTGCATGGCCTCCTGCTTGCTGCTCTCACCGTTGCTCGTAGATGGCATCTCTGCTGGGACAGAGCAGGAACTCACACTCTGGCAGACTGGGCAGCACAGGTGAGCGGCTGGGCTTGAATCAGTCACCCTCCTCTGCCCCCGCTCACCTGGGTCAGGACTTACCATCACTGGCCCATTTAGAGAACTCAGGTGTGATGCGTGTGCTAGGAGGGCCACCGCTGGAGGAAAGGCAAGAGGAAGAACAAAGTGAGCCCCGAAGGCAGGCAGGACGGCCCTGAGCGCAGGCGCTGGGTTCACCCTGCCGCAGGGCCTCCCTTCCCTTCCTCCCACCCGTCCACGCCTGTGCCCACACTTGCTTTAGGACTGCGCCCCGCAGTGCCTCTCTCTCCTTGGCTTCGCCAGGCTCCTCGCCTGTGCAGGGGATGACGTCAGCCTCCGTGTATCTGGCAAGGTGGTCAAGGACAATGGATCCTAGTTTGTGGTGGGCTGTCAGAGTTGAATCCCCAGGAGGGCTGCCCCTGGCCCTAGCTGAGACACTGACCCCGGAGGTTTTGGTGTGGGTGAGTGACTGGAGGTGCTTGTGGCTTTCCTTACTCCCTCTGGCCTGTCCCACCAGTCCCGCCTTGTCCCGCAGCGCCCCAAGGATACTGTGGCTTCCCATACTCCAGAGTGTCATCCCCGTCCACATCCAGGTCAGCGTCACTGTCCGGATTCTCTTTGCCGCTGCACATGACGAAGCCAGAGCCTGTGGGAGGCAGGGTGTGAGGAGGGCCAGGGGCCAGCAAGATGAGGCCAAGGATCCCCCTTCTGTTCCCTAAGGCAGGGGTCAGGTCTGGGGCTAGGTAAGGCCCGACAGAAACTTGGGCTTGGGGAATAGAGAGCACTTCGGTGCTCTTGATCCTGACATTACAGTTCTTTTCACTCTGCACACCTCAGCCTTCCCTGCACTGCCTGCTGCTCCAAGTGGTCTCTGCTCATAAACCAGCCCATTCATACATTCTGTCAAGTCCTTAGGAGACACCCAGTCTAGGCCTGCTGTCCACCTGTCTTCCACATCTAAGAGTAGGAAGAGGACAGACAGGTCTACAAGGTCACCCCAACCCAGGACCTGGGCATCCCGTGCCCCATGGTCCAGCTGGGCAAGTCTACCAGAGGGGAGAGTAGGCTGGCAAAGGCCTGTCAGAGCCTTACAGTGGAACCCTCAGCCAATGTCCTGATTTTGGCCGGCAGGTCCTTGCCAGCAAAAACACCAGGCAGCTGTTCAAATATTTGGTGTCTGAAGCGCCTGACATTAATTATTCATCCCCACCTCACTCAGCCCAGATTCCTGGACAAGTGCAGTTATAAAGGGATTAAGAAGGGACAACCGAGGGAGGACAGACATGCACACCTGCTTTTCAAAGCAGTCCCTGGAGGCAACCCGGCTGGACGGAGGCAGGGCCAAGGGCTGGGCAGGCAGCTGACCCCACCAAGGTGTATATGGCACAGCAACAGGCAGACTCTCGGCCAGCGGTGGGAGGGGTGGTGGTGATGCAAGGGGCTGAGTTGCTGAAGCTGCCCCAGGCCCACTCACCTTCCTTGTGTTCTGACTCCCAGAACCACCCTTCGTGACAGCCCAGGGCCAGGGACCACAAAGCTGCTACTCCCTCCCTGCCCCTGCCTTCTCCCAGTTCTGGTCTCGGACCACATCACATGAGCCAGTGGAGTGGACAGAAAGGACTGAAAGCAACGGGATCTGGGGTGAGTGGAGTCGATGCAAAGCAGCTCAGAGTTCTGCCCAATGACCTCAGAAATTTCTTGTCCATTCTTCCCACTTTCAGGGCCTTACACATTCATGAAGAAAACAGGCTTGTAGTGCGTTGTCAAGCCTCTCATCTATTGCTTCGTCCTGTTGCCAGAGTCCTGACCTTTCTTTTCCCTGCTCCAACACTGCCTGTGGCTCCTCACTGTACCTGAGACCAATTCCTACTCTTAAGCCAGATCTGCTATGCTCAGGATGCCCTCACTTCTTCACCTTCTCTCATTTCGCTCCCTAAGTCCCACATACACGGGCAGATGACTTACTCCACCCTCCAGTGTCACCCTGTCTGTCTGGCTTGTGCTCTCTCTCCATCTGGAGGGTTCTCCATCTTTCAAGCCCATTTCAAAAACACTTTCTTCCTGATCCTTCTCTACTCTACACCTCCGGTTTCTGGTCTCACAAAGGGCCCACCCATCCCAGAGGTAAGCAGCACCAGAGAAACCGCTAACAGGTACTGCCCAGCTCCACCCCTGCCGTCCGTCCTCATCTGCCCTCCACACTGAGGCACAAACAAACTCAAGGCAGCAGGCGGGTCAGCAGCAGGGCCATTAAGCTGAGAAAACACCAAGTTACAGCTCTGTCTCCTATTCACAGCCAAGTGTCCTGACAAGCAATTCCCACCTTGTGGGTGAGTGGCACCTCTATAAACCCTCTGACAGTTTGGGAGACAAACTCTGCCATCAATCAGAATGTAGCCATCAGGTTCACTTAGAGCCTGCGCCCCTTGAGCCCTGCCAACCCCCCGCCCCCAAGTGCAGGCAGCTCAGCAGTCAGCCTCACATCTTCGGCTTGGCCAGACCCTGCCCAGCCCTGCCTTGTGGGTGAGTGAGAAGCAAAGCCAAGAATTCTGGCACCACTCCTCAGCCCAGTATGGCTCCCATGGCAAACCTGAGAAAATGGGGCACTCCCAAATTCCCAGGAAAAGTCCAGGCTTCTTAACACATAAAGCAGCCCAGTGGCTGGAAGTCTTTATCTCTGCAGTCTCATTGCCTGCCAGGCCTGGACCAGGTCTCTGTAGTCTGGTAACAGCTATTTTGGTTCCCAGGGCCAGTGTGTTTTATCATGCCCCTAGAACTTTGTACTTCCTGTTATCTCTGCCTAGAAATGTCTCCCTCTTGGTCTATAGAACACATTCCTGTTCATTCTGCAAGTCTGACTCTTCTCAATCATGCCTTCTATTCATGATGCCTACACATAGTAGTTGCTCTACAAATACTTCCTGAATGAACTTGCTTCAACATTCTCTAACTTTATTGAACTCATCCTCTGCCTGGCTTGACACTGAGGACGTTGTTTCCTGATCTGATTCCTATGCTAAGGTGTTGAGTACAGATGAAACTTCCCTAGACATTTCTACAGAGGGGTCCCTTCTGTGGTGTCCACCCAGGCTCCTGTACAACTCCAAATTCACAGGTATTACCATGTATTGTCACTGTCGTTCACTAGATTGAAAGCCCAAGTCTGTGATCTAAGCGTTACCCAGCACAGAGCTGGCCAGGCCCACCACAGGTGCCATATAACATCCCCAAGCAGTGACAGCTAAATGCTGATGGTGCTGTTCTGTTAGATGCTGGGAGCCCTGTGACAGAGGCAGGCCCAGGCCCGATCAGCCAGTGGCCTGTAAAAACCTCTCTGGCCACAACTTCACCTCACAGACCCCATCTCTCAGGTAGGCAACAATCTCCTTCTTCTCCGATCACCCTGACAGGATGGAGAGCACGACACATCTTGTTTGCCAAGGAAAAGGCCTGCCTTTGGTCGGAGCAGCTAACTTTGACCCTGACCCCCTCCTCCAGCAGACAGATGTTGGGAGCCTCTCCCTACCCCTCAGGTGTTCAGAACAGGCTGCCACTGCCAATTTCACTCCTGTGCTGCCCCAGCCAACTCCAACCTCCTTCCCAGCACATTAAACTTTATTTTCTTAATGAAATGTCACTTGCTGACTTCTGGCAGAATCATAATAAAAAGAAACAGCCATAAAGCCATTTTATGCAGACAGGGCCCCCGCCAGCTTACCCCCCGCCCCCCACACATACTTTGAGAAGGTGGCTCCACAATCATTTTATGTTCTCAGCTGCTGGAATATCCCAAGCCAGTACTCAGAAGCAAGATGGCACAGAAATCTCCTTTCCAAGCCTCTGGCTCCTGCTCTGTGAAGCTCCAGGGTAACAGGCAAGCTGCCACTCCTGCTGCTACTAGCCAGGGCAGGGACTCTGCCTTCAGACCCTGCAAGATGACCCAGAGCACTCTGCAGTCACTGGGGAGTCCCCGTGCTATGGCTCAGACCCATGAAGGGCTGGGTGCTGTCCACAGGCAGACTAACCCTGATGATCAGTGATGCTCAGCAGTGGGTGCCTGGTCCAGGGAGGGCGGGAAGTGCAGAAAAACCTCTTCTCTCCAAGTGGATACTTAGCAATAGAGAGGGAGAGGATTAAGTGCATAAATGATAAGCAAAGCCTAAATTTTATAAACATGATCCATCTCTCATAAACTCATTTCTTCTTGGGTCATCGCAAAGAGAGAAGGAAAAAAAAATCAGCGTTAATTTGATCAATTGATCAGATGATCGATTGTGAAACTGGAGATGCCCACTGACTAGGGGCAGTAACGTCCTGGAACTTGAAACCACAAAAAAGGAGCCATCGATTTCCTCACCTGCTGCTCCCAACAAAACCAAAGCCCAGGGAGAAAGGCGTCCTGGGGCCTCCAGAGGCCCGAGCTCTCCAAAGGAGGGGAGAAGGGGGGCAGTGCACAGCAGCAGCTTCCGGAGAGTTTTACACTGGAATTAGTTACAGATGCAGTTACTGTGTCTTGTGTAAACGCCATCGATTGGGGAGCTGACAGTCTGGGGAGCTGCGATGCGGGACAATCAATCGGCCTGCAGTGTCACCTGCCACCTCGCTGAACAGTTGACAATGCAATTATCCAGTGTGGAGGCAGGGAGTTGGCGTGTGTCAAACGCACTTAGCCACTTTCCGGGCCTCCTCGATAACGCGTTTCACTGCCTCACGTCAGGAGAGGCGCAGAGAGACAGACGCCGTTTAAAACCATTGATACTTGCTCCTTCTGCCTGTACTCCCCGTCCCGGCTTAACAATTGTGTTTCCAAAAGGCGATTAAATCCTCGTCAGTTGCCACAGGGGACAGAAGGTGCCCTGCTCCTTGCCACCCCTCCTTGCTCCTCCCACCAAACAAGATCTAACTCAGGGTGGTAAGGAGGTAGAAAGCAGCAGCCTGGATACACTCTGTTCCAAGACTGCCTCTGGCAGTTGGCTGTTCCAGCACCTGTCACTGACTGTATAAGGCAGCAGGGCTGCCCTGGGGGACATTTTGAGAATCTGAGGCTCCCATCTTTTGGAAATCAACATGCCAAAGAAGGCAACAGTTAAGGCCAGGCCAATTTCTCCAGGCCCTGGACTCACAACACCTCTCAACCCCTTGACCCACATTCTGGCACTGAAGTTTTACCAAGCAATAGCCAGTTAGCAGATCTGCGCCACAGCTGCTCCACCTTTCCTCTCCATGGCGTCTCATCCCAGGCCAGATGGAGCCAGTCTAAATCCAAGGCAAGAACTCAAGTAAGATGCAGTCCCTAGGCGAGGCTCGGGGCAGGGCAGAGGCCTGGACAGCGGGTTCTCTTAGTAGCGTCCCTGTCTCCACCCATCCACCTGTTTGATTCAAAGGTGCTCAAAGCTGGATTCCAGGGACGCATTTCCTTTCAGGGCTCAAGGATTGAGCTACAGCACCTTCCACTTCCTGCCGCCTCCTGGGAAATCCCTCCACCTTGTCACCCGAATGCCCACTGCACCACTATCAGGTCATCTGAAGCCAACCGTTTCATGTCCTCTCTCCAGCCTGTCCATCCCAGAGATAATGAGCTCCAGGCTCCCCTAATCCAGCTAAGTGAACATTCACTGGCGAACAAGACAGGGGAAGAGTCAAGGCTCCCACCACAAGTCTCTTGTTCGGGACCAGGAGCTGAATACAGGCAGGCATGGGTTTGTCCCCAGGGGCTGTATAATTGGTTCCCACTGTGGCCCAACCTAGAGGCCCCTTGCTCTGCCCAGGGCTGGCACGGGGTGCCTGAAGAGCATCTTTTTTTCCCCTAATGCTGAACTCTTTAAGGGAAATGTTGGTGAAGCACTACGGTCTGTGCGCCGCCCTTTATGCAGTTGTAACTGAGTGGGGAAAAATAGCACTAGCAGGCTAGCAAACCCAAGGTTCAGAGAGGACAATCCACAGCTCACGCACATAGCCCAGGGTGTCCCCTAGAACTGAGAAGGCCACCGTGTTTCCTAAACAAATGTTTCTTTCAAACTACTCTCTTGAAACCTTTCAGTATCTCTTCTTTTAGGCTCTTGAAGATCCACATCTACCTGGACCTATCCTAGTCCTTACCTGTTCTGTCCGATCCTTCATTCGGTCCTACAATACCAATTTCAAGCCCTCCCAGGCCTGAGCTCTCTGAGTCTCAGTAATCACAGGTCCCATCTTTAAGGCCCATTCTCCTCAGTCAAGTGTCCCACCAACAATTCCTGCTTGTTCATTGGCTCCGCGGCACATTACATTCAAAGGAACTCATCTGCTCCACCAGACCAGTCCCCATTGGGCCTGGTGGGAAGCCATGCTGAGGATGACGAAGGGGCCCTGGTCTGGGAGGAGGGATAGGCGATGATCAGATACAGGAATTTATATGCAATTCTTCAATTCTTTCATATCTAACAAGGACAGCAATCTCTGTTCTGTCAGCACGCACAGTGCGGCTTAAATGGGCCTCTCTCGCCTGCTCATCTTGCCTCTGCTCCCTCTCTCTGAAGTCGGCCGGGCAGCTTCTTCAACCGGCGTTATCACTCCCTCTAACCGGTCTTGGCAGGCAATCTAATTCCTCCTGAAAAGGTCACCGCCATTTTAACTGCCTTTCAATCACATTAAGCACGCGCTGCCCGGCTTGCGGCCCAGCCCGCCCGGCGGGCGATCAATGCGCTGCACTGACACCAGCCCGCCTGGCGGGGCCACACCCAACCCCCCAAGAGTTGGGGCCTCTCGGTCCTGGCCAAGGAGGGCAGACTGACAGATGGCCAGCTTCTGCAGACAAGGTTTCGGGGGCAGAGGCGGTCAGGATCAGCCAGGGCCTCCTTTGATAGCACCCCCCTACCGAGGAGCCTCAGCCTCCTCCGCTCCACTGCGCCCTGCTCTCTGCCTCGTGGCCCCTGCTGATCTCGCTGTAAAACAGCCTTTCAAGTCTGTCTGTCTTTTGACTGCACTAAGCTGTTTAAGAGGCGGCAGCAGCTTCTATCAGGAAAGCCGGAGCAATTCTCTGCAGATAAAGGCACCTCCGGCCCCTGTTCCCTCTTCAAGTCTCACTCTCATTCTTGCTCTCCAAATCGCTCAAAGAAAAACCCCCTTTGAACTCCTCTCAGGAATTCTTGAAAGGAACAACCTCACCATGTAAACACTCAGGGAAAACTGACACCCGCCCAGGGCTGAAGAGCCCCTCACACCCGCTCTGCAAGTGAGCCCTGGTGCCTGGGAAATACATGGTCCTATGGGCAGGCCCCATGCGGCTTCATGTTCCTAAGCCTTGTCTGGAGCCCAGAAGCCATCAGGTCCAGTTCTGGGCGAAGTGACCTGACCCAAGAAGTTGCCACAGCAATGGAAGACATGAAAATCTGCAGCCACCAACAAAGCGAGCCCAGAGAGGCATCGTGGAACTGGCTGGGGACACCTGTGAGTACAAGTCACAGGATCCCTGGCTTCGGGGCTCTCTGGGCCTCAGAAACTCTACGACAGGACCAGAGAGAAATGGCAAATGGACATTCTCTAGCTCAGTCCTCAGTTTGGTCTGATTAACCTTTCTCATTTACATTTTGCCAATGTAAGAGAAGCCCCGAGGCATAACGCCACACCTGGGCTTGTGGCCTCTTCATGTAGCCAGTTTGCTCTGGACGGCACTCTAAGGACCACTTCTCATCACCAGCCCTAGAAGCATAGCCCCAGTGAGGCAGAGACCCTCCTCTCAGCTGCTGCAATATTCCCAAGGGACCAGACACAGCACTCCTCCCAAGGGTGTTGCCCAGAGAACTGGAGGCAGATGGGAAGCAGATTGGCTCACTTAATGACCACAAGCTGCAGTGCCAGCTGTGCTTGTGCACAGCAAGAGCGATGAGCTGGAGGCTGGGAGGCAAGACTGCTCCCCCTTCACCCTGCCCACGGCAGGAAACAGCAACAAGAGGACACAGATCTGGGTTCCTACCAGTCTGCTATTTAACCTGGTGGGGGTGGGGGACTTCCATTGGGCCAAACCATGGCTCTCCAAAGATCCAGGTGGGCGGTGGAGCTGGGGAGGTCCCAGCAGGGCCCTCTACAGCGAGTCCAAGAGAAGCAGGAGCAGCTGGGCACAGGCCCCGCTTGCTTCAGGGCAGAGGGCGTCCAGGGAGAAGGGATGGGATCACAGCTAAAATTAGATTCACCAATGAAGCTCATGGGAGGTCAAATTTTGCCATAACTCACTCTCTCCTCTGTAACTGATTTCCCTGACGTGGGGCTGAGGAGGAGGAGGAGGAAAATCCAATGTGTTTGCCTGGAAGCCCTCGGGGCCCCCAGTGCTGGAGGTGTACAGCAGGTTGCTGGATTCTCATTTATCAGCCTTAAGAGGGATGGAGTGATAAATGCATAACCGTCCCTTTAATATTTTATGCAGGTGCTAACGCGGCTTGGCTGTCACCTTCAATGCATCACCCGAGGCGGAGAGCCCCCCTCGTCACTCCGAGCTTGCAGCCTCACAATTCCATTTCCCCACCCAAATACATCCATTTTAATATGCACATCACAGGCAGGCAGCACGGTCACAAAGAAGCCCTGCCAGCAGCAGTTCCCACGTGGCCAAATGGATGACCAGCCACCAGCCCTGGCCTCTTGGCTCCCACAGATGGCTACCCAGCAGAGGCCTGGCCACCACAGTGCCACTGCCTAGGTGTCGGCTGCTTGTACCTCGGAAACCACCTTCCAGGAGAGTGGTGGCCCGTATCCGCTTCTGCCCGCACCACTCATACTCCTCAAAGCGGTTGCTGTTCTCATGCTCGATGTCCGCGGCATCGTCCTCAGCCATGCAGGAGCCTTCCCTCTGTGAAGAGCAGAGCAGGATCATGCGGGTCCCAGGCCGTCCCAACCTGCTCCCCAGGATCTGCGAGGAAGGCTCAGCCTAGGCCCCCCGCTGCAGTGTGCCCCACAGGCCCCCAGCTCTAGGGCTCCTTGGAAGTAAACCAATTGCGAGGTCAAAGACCTGGGCTTTTCCCCAATAATTTTCCACCGGAGCCCCAGGGGAGGAGTGGGAGAGTGAAAGCAAAGGAGGAGGGCAAAGAACAGAGAAGAAGCAGCTGCTGAGACCACGTGGAGATCCCAAAAGCCCCAAGATTGGAGGCAGTCAGCGGCTAGTGTCAGGGGAAGGGGACGGGGTAGGTGGTGATGGCCCCTCTACCTTAGAAAGGCAATGCTCCACATGCCTACTCATCTCCTGCTCCGATCCTGCCAGGGGGCGGCTGCACAGGGGACATACCTGCCCTTCATCTTGCTTCCTCCGTTTCATTTTCCCAATCCGAGCTGCATGGAGAAACCGAAAACAAAGCACACAATAGTCAGATGTCACTGGAGCTCCCAAGTCCCAGTGGGACCGACATATCCTGACCTCCCTCGTTATGTGGCACCTTCAGCTCCTTTGGGGTCTGGGCCTTGCCACGAGCACCTGGGGAGAAGACTGGTGCTAGGCCAGCCGAGTGTCCACTCTTTGGCCACAGCTGGCGCAAGCTCAACCCACAGCTGCCTACCTGTGCTGCTCAATGAGTCGTGAGCAAAGATGCTCCCCTTGGCACTTACTAGGTATCTCTCCAGAAGGCCAAGATCACAGGCTCTTTTAGAGTCAAGACACACAACTTTAGAGATCACCTCTTGGCTAGAATCCAAAGTCTCTCCAGGGGCTGATTTGGCCAGCTGTTCACTTATCAGTTAAAACCGCTTATTCCTGGGCCAGCAGGCCCGAGGTAGAGCCCTCAGTGTCCTATATAGAATCATCCCAGGGAGGATTTCTCTCAGGTCCACTGGTCCCATTTTACAGAAGAGGAGATTGAGGCCCAGTCATAAAGGTACAGAGGGTCTGAGTCAGAGAGCCCAGGATATCCTGAGAGGGTGGCCCTTACTGTGCCTATCCAAACCTGTTCCATCATTTCTAATCAGTGAAGAGGGGCTGGCAGGCCCCCGAGGCAGAGGGCTGCCTGCCATGCTGTCCCACAGGGGGCTCAATTCCAAAGTGCACACTGCAAGCCCACAGCACTACTAATTAATGCTGAGAGATGCAATCATTTCTAATTAGCTCACTAATCCCTCTCTGCAGCCCTCCTGTCACTGAAGCAGGAAGGGGTCAAAACAAGGGACTCTGTTCCCTCTATCCCCTCCCTTGATGCAGAGCTAGCCACTTGGAGACCAGACTGATTAGGGTGGGGGCAGAGCCAGCCAAGGAAGGAAGGGTTCCCCACTGCAAGGCCAGAAAGAACCTTCTCGTGGATACTGACCCTAGTGGAAGGCTCATCAATGCAGGCCAGGGAGTGAGACACTGGTGAACAATGATGCATGTGACAGCTGGTAAGTTACAATTTAGAGCTTCAACTGTGTAAGATTTAACTACCTTACTCAAGGAAGCTCATTTTATTCTATATCTGGAAACCAGGTTGCATTAAGCATTTTGCCAGATAAAGATACTTAAAGTTCAATCATGCAGTCGCCCAGGTAGCTGCTGCTGCTGCTAAGTCGCTTCAGTCATGTCCAACTCTGTGCGACCCCATACACGGCAGCCCACCATGCTCCCCTGTCCCTGGGATTCTGTAGGCAAGAACACTGGAGTGGGTTGCCATTTCCTTCTCCAATGCATGAAAGTGAAAAGTGAAAGTGAAGTCGCTCAGTCGTGTCCTACTCTTAGCGACCCCATGGACTGCAGTCTACCAGGCTCCTCCGTCCATGGGATTTTCCAGGCAAGAGTACTAGAGTGGGGTGCCATTGCCTTCTCTGGCCCAGGTAGCTAAAAAGTGGCAAAGGCAGGATAGGAAACCATGCCTTACTCTATAGCTTTGAATGCTCTCTTGTCCCAAGAGTGCCCCAACTGATCAGTATCAACAAAGACGGATCCTGTGAGTGTGCTAGGGCAGCACTTGGAACCCCAGCTCCTGCCTGTTGAGGGCCTGAAGCAGGGAGTTACTCCAGAACAGGGTAGCCCTAGAAAGACCCAAATCAACAGGAAAGCCACCATCCCACCAGGACTAAGCATGGAGTAGGAGAAACCTTGGCCTGCAGCCTGGCCCATCTCCCCAGTTTCCGGTGCTCTCACTATAGGAGATGTGACCATGTTCTGGTGCCCACTTGATTTTGTAGACAAAGATCAAGACTCTTTCACCTTGACTGCCCTAACCCTTGGAATCTCAGACTCAGGCCACCTTGACACTCTAGAGCCAGGGCTGGGGTGGAGAAGGGATGCTAGATACAAGAAAGGTATTGAGCAAGTGACCCTGAGAGTTCGAGAAGGCTGTATGGAGCCGTGCGCCAGTACAAAGGTGCCTCCCCTAACCTGCCTAGAGCCGAAGGGAATGCCTCTCTGGTAAGGAGACTATGAGAGACACTGATAATTGAATAAACAGGTGAATCTCACAGAACTGCCAAGTAAGGCAGGACACTGGACGCTCTCCTTGCCCAAGCCACCCATGCCGGAAAACTCCTTGTGGTCCCAGGAAAGCATTCTGATGGACTGGGCATCACGTGGAAATTCTCAGATAAGTAAGGCAGGTTTGGTTATTTTCTTGCCATCCATCTTCTAAGTCCTGAACTAAGCTTACTAAAACATGATAGGGAAAAGTGTGCTCCCTACCTGGAAGCTTCCACTAATAGGAAAAGTCAAAGTATTGCCAAGGAGGCAGCATGGCATGGTCCAAGCAGCACAGACTTTGGAGGTAGGTGTGTGTTTACCACTCAGTCGTGTCCAACTCTTTGCAACCCCATGGACTATAGCCCACCAGGTTCCTCTGTCCATGGAATTCTCCAGGCAAGAATACTGGAGTGGGTTAACCGGTTCAAACCATGGCTTGGCTATATCCCAGCTGTGTGGTTTTCAACAAATCGCTTCACCTGTCCCAGCCTCAGTTTTCTCATCTACAAAACGAGTGTTATCACTGCCTCTCAGTTATGATAAAGATGCTTAACATGGTGCCGGCCCATGATAAATGCTCTCCTTTTCCCAATCTGGGGCCCAGCCTGACAGTAGAAACCAAGTGGCAGGAACTGGGGATCTTGAACATCGATGCCTTTGCCAGCTGGTCCAGAGACCCCCAAGCCCCTTACATCCAACCCCCAGATATACCACACCCTAGTCAGCACAAAAAACTAGATCATCCAGTTTGTTCAGCAAACAGGAATGCTCCAGAGGTTTGAATCCAAAAGGTTGGGGGGGGGGGGGGGGCGGCTGCCAGGTAGTGCATACACAGCGTGCTTTCAGACAAGGCCTCTAAGAGCTGTTGAGCCCACGCTGATCACCTTTGTGAAATGTGGGCTGACTGATAACTCAAAGAGCCCTGGGATGAGTTAGTTCCTGTTGCCGTGGGAACTCCAGATCTCAGTGCATTGTCAAGTCTCAGCAGAGAGGCTGTATTCACACGACTGGGCACTGATTAAAAACTGGAAGAAAAACATTCTCAGCGCCCTGCCGGCTTGTACAGTGAGGTCCCAGCAGTTTGCAAATTCAAAGCGGAGCTCCCAAGTGGAATTGTGTGGCTTGTTCCTCATTCTCCGCCACTTATTGTCCCCCAGGGTCCTTCAAGGCCTAGAGAGGCTCACGCAAGAGCTGGCAACCATCATCTCCATTAAACAGATGGGGAAACTGAGGGCGGCAGCCTCGGTAGGCATATACTGAGGCGCTGTGATTGCCAGGAAACCAACGGGCCCTAACGTTGAAGAGACCCAGGCAAGCCAGGAGCTGCAGGCAGTGAGGGAGGGAGGAGGCCGGGGGTGGGGCGAAGGGAGGGGCTGCGCAAGACTCACCATTCAGTCGGGTCTGCCGGTTGGCTCGCACTCGCAAGAAGGTCTGGGAGAAAATCCCGGGCAGATGCAAAAAAGAGAAGACAGCGTCAGCGCGGTCGGGAATCCCAGCCCCCGCCCCAGCCCCGGACCCCGGTCCAGGCGTGCCCCGCCCCAAACAGCCCGTAAACAAACCTACTTCCTCCCTCCCGCCGGCCCCCCTGCTCCGCCGGCCGCTCCGGGCCCTCGGCATAGCCGCCGGGGTCTGCTCTAGCGGGCCCCGGAGGCCGCCGCGCGGTGCCGCCCCAGCCCCGGCCTCCGGCGCTCCGGGCCCCGCGGCCGCCCGGCCGGCAAGGGCGGCGATGCGGGCGGATTCCCCCCGGCTGCCCGGCGGCGGCGGCACCTCAGCTCCCAGCGGCGGCGGCGGCCATGTTGGCCTTGATCACGTGACCCGCCGCCGTCGCGCGCCGGGGGTGAAAGTTCAAGAAGTGGGGGCCGGAGGGGTGGGTCTGCCGGACCAGGACCAGGAAACAGCTGCTCGCACTCGGGCAGCAACAGGCTGAGGCCGCCCAGGGGTTCCTCCCACCGCCCGCAAAAACCAACCCGCCCCGGTTTTAGCGGCTGCGAGGTCCTCCCACCCAATTCCACGCCCCTTCCTAGAGCGGGGCTTCTTCCGTCCCGGAGCCCCGCCCGGCTCCCGCCTCCCGCGCCGCTACCCCTTTGCTGGGGAGGTGGCGTCAGACTTCCTGATCGCCGCGGGCCATGCCACCGCAAGTCCCAACTGTCCAGCTCCCAGTCCCTAGCATTTCAGCAGTCTGGACACTAGAGGATTCCAAACATTTCAGCTGTTTTCTGGACAACCCCTGGAGCTGCCACTGGTAACGCACACGCACGAGCTGGAACCCAGCATCCCTCAAACAAGTGCTTTCCTCCAGGACTCTCAGTTCCTAACGGGACACCACCATCCACTCTGGTGTGCCCACACCAGAAACTTGAAAGTGAGTCGTCCTTGATCCCACCCTCCTTCAGTTTCTCGCGCTCAATTCTTCTCTCATCTCAGAGTCTACCTTTCAAGGTCTTTTAAACCTTCTCATGTCCACCTCTGTGTATCTCCTACTTATCCTTCTAGACCTGTTTGAAAAATATAATTTCCTCTCTACTTCAATCTCTACCCTCAGTATGGCTTGTCCAGATTTTTATCAGACCACTCCAGGGACGGGACCTTGTGTGAGTCATGAGTGAACCCAGAGCTCTGGCACAGCGCTTGGCATAGACAAGACCTCCCTGTGTGTTTCTTCAGTCGCTATACCTACCTTGGATTTACTGCTGTAGTTCATAATCTTACTGAGCTCTCTAAATTTGCAGCTGTCTCCCATCTGGACTTCTGATCTCCAGCTTTTTTCTCTGTACCCCATCCTTCACACTGCATGCAGTGTGATCTTCCTAACGTGCAAAATTGACCCTCTTTCCTTCTTCCCCTTTAAATCTTTCAGTGGTTCTCCACTGAGATGATCTGCATACAGGTCATCTCTGATCTGCTCTGCCTGCTTCTCCAGACTCCTCTTCTACCATTCCTGCTCTCTTCTTTTGCCTTCCTGACACTCACCTTTGCAGAGCTATCTGTAGCTCTTTGAGCACTCCATACTCTGCATTCTGGGCTAGATTATTCTCCATGCACCCTTATTCCCTGCCTGGTTAACTATTGTTCATCCTACAGGACTCTGGGTGGGAAGACTTCACATTTCCCCCAATGTTGGGTAAGTTGCTTCCTCTTTAGTTTTCACAGTCCCTTGGCTTCACTTTGAATTTGGATATTTTGATTATTTGGACCTGTCCCTTCTCCCTGGGAGCTCATCTCCATGCAGTCACCCAGCACATGGTCTGGCACGAAGAAGAAATCCGTGGGAAGGAGAGGAGGATGCTTATTAGAGAAGTTCTGAGCCCAGCTGGAGGGCTGGGAGGCAATCTAGGATTCAGGGCCAGACAGACTCAACCTGACTTGGTTCTTCACATATATGTGTGCTTAGAAAAGTCACTTCTCTCTAGGCCCGTTTCCTTAGCAATAAATTGGGGCAATGAATCCTAACTTGCACAGTTGCTATGAGGGTAAAGTGAGGTAATGGTTAAAGGCTTAGGTAACCCAGCAGGGGCTAAGTAAATGGGAAGCCAAAACAGAAACCAGTACCCTCTGATTTCAAAGCCAAGTTTGATGATTTTTTTAAACAACATAATTGAGCAACTACTACATGCCAGGCATTGTGTATAGATGAGGGAATTCGAGCTTCACCTTCTACCTGTTCCCCTTGTGTTTTACATTCTAACAAAACTGAGCTGCTGGTGGGTCCCCAGATACATCATTCTGTGTTACACCTCTGTGTTGCTTTGGTCGGGAATATCTTCTCTTCCTCGTCCACTAAAGTAAACTCCTGCTCTGTTCAGTCATTACCTCCTCTGTGAAACTTTTTTTTTTTTCCTCCGTGAATCTTATTCTGATTTTTCTTTTTCCACTGTGCTGTCCTAGAAACTTATTTACACTCTCATCATAGCATTTAAAGCACTTAGAAATTATCTATCTGCAACCCCTTGAAGGCAAGGACACTGGGCTGAGCATGAGTACTAGATAAATGGTTGAGTAAAGCCAGGGAGTAAAGAACGATGTTTTTGCCTTAGAGAGCCCCCCTCCCCCAATCTAATGAAAGAGTGAGTCTCATCATGATAGATAAAGTATGTTCACAATTCTTCACAGTTCCTCCTATCATGAGCTGCATTTCCTCATCCCTTGATTATGTACTATCCCTGTGACTTGCTCTGCCAAGTGATGGGTGAGTTCCAGAGTCTAGGCCTCAAGAGGCCTTGCAGCTTTGGCTTTTGCCCCCTTGGCATGACACTGCCCTGAGACTGCCAAGTAAGGCAGTCAGTCTAACCTACTGGAGGATGACAGACCACATGAAAGAAAATCAAGATCTCTGATCTCCCAGACATGTGGTGAGGCCGTTTTGGACTTTCCAGCCCAGCTAGTCCTCCAGCTGAATGAGCTTCATGAATGAGGAAAGGTCTAGTCAACCGACAGAATCTTGAGCCACTAAGTTTGGGGATGGCTTGTTATGTGATTGTGGATAAAGGAAACATTAAATGGGTGATCACAGTATAGGATGATCAGAGCAATGACAGGGACATGCAGGGGTCATGAGAAGAGAATGCTAACCCAGAAAGGCTTCCTAGAGCAGAGGAGATTGGGGCAGTTTGTTGAAGAATAAATACAAATTTGTTGGGTTTGGGTAAAATAATCCCATTAAAAACAGCATGTGTAAAAACACACAGAGGCAAGAAAGGAATGGCACAGCCAAGGAGTGGTAGGCATTAATCTGGCGAGCATAGACCACAGGATTCACAGAAGGCAGTATTAGGAATGGAAGCTGGAAATACAGGTTGAATCTAAATCACGGAGGCCTTGGTGCCATTCCTTAGCACACCTAGCCTGTGCCTAGCATGCCATGTCTGTGCCCGATGGTTATTCTCCCTGGATCAGCAAATAGTGGGGCTGATGCTATGACTGAAGTAGAGAGAAGAGCCTCCAAAGGCAGGATTCTGTTTCCCTTGGGAGTAGAATTCTCTGGGATGGAGCCTTATCTCCCTATCCCAGAATTCCTTCAAGTTGGGTCATTGCTCCATCTCGAAGCAGGATTGTCTAGGTGAGGATTGACTGCCTTTCTCAAACTAGGGCTCACAAGGGTAGGGATCCTTCCCCAGAGCTGAAACACTGGGCTCTGTACTTTGAGTAGCATACAGAAGCATTGAGCAGAGGAGGTGCCAGGGGAAGCTGGTGTACAGTCTGCACCCTGATGCCAGGCTGTGTCAGTGGGGAGGAAGAGGAACCCAGAGAGAAGACCTCAAATTCCAGGAAAGGCTTCCTGAGTGCCAGCAGTGACCCTGGTTCCCTGCCCCAGATGACAGGTCCCTGCCGCCTTGTCTGTCTGCATTAGTCAGGGTTGCGTTTCCTTTTTCACATCACGGCTCCCTAAGAAGCCCCACTGCCATTTAGGCACATGTTCCTTGGAGCAGGCCCTGTGTTATACCCTCTGACTGGGGCTCCTGCAGGTGGGGCTCTGTCTCTTCTCAGACACAAGCTTCTTGGGAAGCCCTTTCTCCTTTCCTCCACAAAGAAGGTCTGGATAAGCTGGGATGTTCCCCTTAAGTCCCCTCCTGCTTTGCTGCTTGAGGATTGTATGGTTATTCCTATCCTGTTTGCCCAAGGCACTCACAGGCAGTATTCCACCCCTGCTATGGTCTGGCAGAATTGATGGCTCTTTGCTCAGGGGATTCTGGTTTTGAAGTGTGAAGTCTTTAGGTGATGCTGGGCTACATCCCTGGGTCCTCGATGACACTGAACCCTAGAGGGGAGATGGCTGGGATGCTTCAGAAGAGCCCACCCAGGCCCAGATGACCTTGGCATCTCTCCCTAAAGTCTGTCTATGTAAGGCATGTTCCGTGACACGTTCCGTGTGCCTTCTGGTTCACTTAGGGTCACTAGACACAGGGGGAACCACAGTTCAGTCCTTCATGCCCCCCCTCCCCGCCCCATCTTCCAGGGAGAGAAGGACTTAACTTCGGGTTAATTCCAAAGGACTCATCCAAGTGCCCAGCCTGCCCCTGCTTACCTGATATCTGTCTGAGTGGTGCAGGTCGTCGGTGGCTGATGAGTGTGGTGATGCCGTTGGAGACTCTCCTTCCCTCTTGATGGAAGCAGACAACAAGAGGGACTGAAAGAAGAAAAAGGACACATGGCCTCAGGCTGAGTGAGACCTACAGTCCATTCCCTAGGGTGTCCGGTCCTATGGAGCTTTTAGGAGAGAGGCAGAGAAAAGGAGGGCAGGGGGTGGAGGCTACACTTGAGATTCTAAAGGCATGTGGTCAGGCCCCGGAGTCTGGTTGTGGGAGAGGATGGACTGATCCTGGGATGGGTGGAGGCCCCTGGAGAGGGTCCAGTAGCTCCACCCCAACTAATCTCTGTCCCCATGGGGCAGGCCTCCTAGGAGGCTGAGGCTATATAGGCTTTGTTCTCCCGTAGGGAGCAGAGACTCTGGGACCCTGAAGGGTTGAGGTCTAGCCACATCCCTGCCACTCTGCTTGCCCCTAATACAGGCTGGTGGCAGCCCCGCTGTGGAGACAGTAAATTAAATAGCATGTATGAGTCTCCTCCGTGCAGCTAGGGATATGTGCCGGCTCTACTTCTCCCTGTGCTGTGGCGGCGACCCCAGCAAAAACCGCAGCAAAACTAATCCCCCCTGTGTCAATCCCGCACGGCCTCTTCTACATACGCCTGCAGTTTAGATTAATAAACTGTCTGCTTTAAACTGTGCACGAGGTCCACAATTCTAAATACCACATGGCACGTTCAGCCTGCTCTTGCTGGCTCGTGCCAAGGCCTGTTCAGCTGCAAACTGGGGGCCTGGAGGCCTGAAAGCAATCCATACTTCCCGCACCCCACCCCCCCGCAACCCCCCAGCCTGCATAGCCCTGAGCCGGAAGCATACAATTCCCTCGGAGGCCTCCCCAGCCTAGAAAACCATGCCAAATCGCCAGTGACAGCGCAGAGAAAGCAATCTGGGAAAGATGGAGCAGCCATTTATCCTTCATCTCCGACTGAGCCTTAGGATGTGACCCGCATGCGGTGGCCACGCTGCACATCCTTACGCCTGAGGGCCCTGGGAGGGGAGGGGGCAGCTGCCGGTCTGGCAGGGCTCCCTGACTCGGCCTCAGCCCAGGAGTTGGATCAGGGAGGAGGCCGGGCAGGGTCTGGGGTGGGATTCTCTGCAACTCGGAGCCCCTTCCTCACCCACCCCAGCCCAGTGGGAGGCCTAGTGGGTGCCTCAGCCCTCAGCTCAGAGAAGAGGTGGGCTTTCAGGCAAAGTACTCCTCCTCTGGTCCCAAGGAGGATGCTGAGGAGGGACGACATCGTGGGGCCCCCGCCCTTCCATCAGGAGAAAGCTTGAGCTCGTTTGCTTGCGTGCTCTCTCTCGCTGATTCTCTCTAGGTTAGAAGCCCTGAGAGGCCTCAGAATTACACCTGGGGCAAGCGGAATAAAAAAAGGTCACTGGCGCTTTTTAAACATGGACCAAAAAGCAGTAAAATGTGTTTTGAAAAAAAAAATCCCGGCATTAAATCATGACTTTTTGCCTGGCTCTTCGCCTCATTAAAAGTGGCCTTTTGGAAGGTAAAATTATCATTGTAAGCGATAAGATCTTTAAGAAAATAATTCACGGCTTCTTCACCCTTTAATATGATAGCCGCCACCGGCTAATTTTTTTCTTAATGGCAACGAGGCCATCAATCTTGTCTGAGGCCCCCTCGCCCTCTCCTCCTCCTCCCTCCCTCCTTCTCCCTGTCCTCTCAATCTCTTGCTTGAACCTTATACCTCATGCCTTTTCCACCCATGACCTGCTTCCCTAAAGCCTGGGTCAAGGCAGAAGACAGACCCTGAAACCCTCAGCTCTCGGGGCGTGAGCCTATATCTAGAAGTGAATAAGTGATGGCCATTGCCTCCGAATCTGATTATCAATAATCCAGACGTCGGTGGTTGCAGGAATCCGCACATGTTTAAGATTTCCTGTGTAAGTATTCTGATGGGCTGGGGGTAGGTGAGTGGGTGTGCATCTGTGTATGTGGGGAACCAAGTATGGATGTGGTCTGTGTCTGTGCTCTGAACACAGGCCTCACTGGGGTCAAGTCCCCAGCCCTGCCAGCTGCGCTTAGGTGTCAGGTCAGTGGTTGTGCCTGACCTGGTGACCTGTCTCCCTTAACCACAGCCATTGAAGACTGCAGGCTGGGCCAGGCTTAGCCAGTGTGACTTCTCCCCCCGCATCTTTTCCCGTTAGGGCTGGGAGGGCTTTGCTTCCTTGGCTAGGGCCTGCATCTATCCAGGGCTGGGCTAGGTCCCTGCCCCTCTATCCACCTTGCTGTGTTGAGTGCATGAAGGTGCAGAGTCCACTCCTTTAGACAGGCCTGGAGGGGAGATGCGCCAACCCCCTGGAAATAATATTGTCACTCTGGCTCCTTTTCCCAAAACTGCCCTCTCAGAGGTCACCTGTGCCTATAAGACATCTAAACACGACAGCCTCCTTCTCTAGCCCTCCTGTTTGACATCTGACTACCCCAGATAATTTGGAATTTTTTTCCCTTAGGACCCCAGGACATCATGCTCTCCTGTGCCCCTCCTCACTCATCACTGTTCCTCTTCTGCTCCTTCCCTGGCTCTGGGGCCTTCTCTTGACCCTGCCCCCACAGGAGTCCCAGGCTCTTTTCTTGGCTTCTGCTTTAATCTCTCCACACACACTCACTGACTGATTTCATCCATTCTGAGGAATTCCTTGGCAGACCAGTGGTTTGGACTCTGTACTTTCACTGCCAAGGGTGCAGGTTCAGCCCCTGGTTGGGGAACTGAGATCCTACAAGCCCTGTGGCATAGCCGGAAAGTAAGTTTCATCCATTCAGCACTCATTCCTCACTCCCTATAGAAAGGGCTGAGGATTCCTGCCTTTACAAGTCATTGTGAGAATTTGTTAAGACAGGATGCCACCTTACTGAGGGGTCGGGGAAAGAGGACACTCAGTGGGTAAGGGTTTAGTCTTCCTCCCCAGGTCCCCACTTCTCCAAAACGTCATCCCCCTTGGGGACACAGTACCGTCTACCTCTGTGGCCACCTATGAGAGTTCTCGGTTTGAGTCATGCCATCCTGCTGAGGCCTCTGGCCCCTCTTTTGAGCCACTGTCCTTCACTCTTCCTTTCTCCATCTGATGCTTTCAAGCTTCCCTTTCATAGTGTCTGTTCAGAGAGTCAGATGGTCTCAAATGAGCCCCACATCCTCTCTGGCTCCCTGCTGCCCTCAGGACAAAGCACATGTACTCATCCCATGGTCTGGCTTTCTAAGGCCCCGCACCAGCTGTCTTGACCTGCATGTCTATATTTTTCTTTACCTGCTGCAGCTCACCTTCCTCCTTTTGAGTCTCTCCAGACTTACAGTGTCTGGGTCCCCCACTCTCCTGGTTCATTCTTGGCTTTGACCCCATCCTGACTGGAAGAGGAGGGAGTCAGATGAGCATACTCCAGCTCCCACTCAGACTGCAGGCATGTGCTTGAGTGCACAGGGCAGCCCGAGACCCCAGGCCGGGGATCCAAGAAGAGCTTTTTCTCAGGAACCAGTTCTGGGTGGGCCTACACTAGGATGCGTAGGAAAAAACACACAATTGTCCACCTACCTTGGGGGTGCCTGGAGCCATGGCATCCTTCAGAAGGGAATTCTTGCTGCCAAGAAAGAAGAGAACAGGGTGACCATTCCACTTGCTGCCCAGGGCATGCAAGAGAACAGCAAGAAGACCTCAGGGGGAGAAGACAGCCAGTGTTGCCCAGCTTAGCTCAGCCAAGCCCCACCCAGCCAGCTCAGCCTCCACTGGGGGCCAGGGGCCAGAGTTGGCTCCTGCGCGGGGGTACAGACACGAGGCATGGCAGGCTCTCTTATGGATCTGAGGGAAGGGGCTTCACCTGCCCCATCCTATCAGCCCTGAGGATTCCGCCTGTCCTACCCCCTCCCCTCCATCCCCTGTCCCCAGCCTGCACTTAGCTCCTATGGGAGTGGGGTGATGGAACTGACATGGCTCTTGTCACTTCTCCCTCCAACATGCTGCAAACTGCGTTAGGCCAGGAATGATCTCCTCCTGATTCAATTTGTCAGCCCCAGGCCCTCCGGCATCGGGCGCGGCAGGCGGGCGGGAGCTGGGCCCTGAAATATGGTGGGTGGCTCAGAGCAGGCGGGGGCTGGGGTGGGGGAGGTGATGGATGGGCTGTGGGGGAGGCGAGGACTGTGTTTAATAACAAAATTGGTATGCAAGGCCACATCCCAGCGCTAAGCATGAGTGATCCAGAGCCACAAAGTATTACAAATCCCCGCTAAACAGATGCTGACAATGGAACAAGACGTATCAAATCAGATCCACTTCAGAAACATTAATATCCCTGTTCCTGTCCCTCCCGCCCTACTGCCCCCCTCTGTGCTCACCACATCTGTGCTCACACATTCATGCACGTGCTATCACATGCACACAAACACACGCACACACAGGCGCCGGCTGAAACACGGCAGGAGGCAGAAACAGCCCCTTCTCATAGGATTCCCATGCACATACAAGCAGTATAGGTAGAGCACACCCAAGAGATCCATACAGCACAAGATACACACCCAGGGCAGGTACCCAGGGCACACGCAGGCCGTGTGTACACAGGGAAAGGCATAAACACACCTAATATGTGAGCATAGGCATAGGCAGATCATAAAGTAGAAGTTTTCCATCCAAGGCCATTTGGCCCCCCAGAGGACAGCTGGCAACATTTGGAGACATTTTTGATTGTCACAACTGGGAGTGGGTAGTTTTCTACTGGCATGTAGTGGGTGTAGGGGATTAACCACCCTAGAGGGTACTGCATAGCCCCTCACAACAAGAAACTACCCAGCCCAAATGTTAATAGTGCTGAGCCCGAGAAACCCTGGTATAAAGGTGGATACGCACAGATCCATTGTCTCTAATTCTGTCAACGTGTCGTCACACCGAGGTTCAGACATGCGCTCAGAGGCGCAGGCAGAGTCATGTTCCCAGGGCCGTGTCCTTAAAGACATTCACAACTGTCACCCAGGCCTGGATGAAGAGCTGCTCACAGGCCCACCTTCACACAAGCATGCACAGGTACAGACACCCACGTGTGCTGACACACGCCCAACACTCAGGCACCCACAGATGCAGCCATACATGGACACACCCACAGAAGCAGATATGTACATCATAGTGAAGGGGCCGGTAGCCTTGGCAGCAGGCTGAGACTAAGATCTGAGTGTAAAAACAGCTCGGGGTGGGGTGGGGGTGGTGGTGTGGGTTTGATTTCTGGTCAGGGAACTAAGATCCTGCATGGCACATTATGTGGCCAAAATATTAAAAACAAACAAAAAAACAACAGCTGTCTCCCTGTCTGATCACGCAGTGGGGCATCACAGGAAAGGACCACCGGACTGGGTTCCATTCAGTGGCATTTTGTTCATAAATGGTCCCCATGTTCCTGCTCCTGATCCAGGCACAAGGGATAGAGAGAGGAAATGGAGCTGCTGTTAAGGAACAACTAGATGTGAGTCTGTTACTTTTATCTTTCCTTCACTCCGTCAACAAGTGCTGCTGTTGCCCTGATACTGGCCCCATTCCTGGACCTACAGGTAGAGAAATGAGGCATCTATTACATGACACTGTTCCCACCAGACCCCTGGACTGAGGTCTGTGTTTTCTGAGCAGAATCAGGGTGAAATGGAAGAGGAAAGACTGAACAATTATTGTGTACCCACCACACATGACAGGCATGGGCTAGGAACTTCAGGGGTGTCATCTCTTTGATCTTCACAAAACCTTTACAGAGTCGACGGGCGGGCTGGGTGACACCTCACTGCTCACACAGTCCAGGCGGGGTTTGGGATTTGCGTTCCTATCTAACAAGGTCCAGAGTGCTGCTTTTCGGTTGGCCCCACTGCCTCCTAAAGACGCTCAGGATGGAGGGCTGAGCTCTGAGTTCTTTTACTCTCTCCACTTTGGGCAGGGCCCTGCTGTCTCTGAGCTTTCATTTACTCTGCTGGTGAACAGAAACGAAGACATTCAGGGCCAGGATGTCCAGCCTCTCTCCCTTGGCCAGTCCTCTGGGTCTTTTCCTGCAGTCCTCTGCACCTACCCTCCAGGTCAGACTCCTTCCCTCTCCCGGAGCAAGCACCACCACCCTCTCCCCGCCCCCCGCCCGCCCTACCTTTCCTCCAACAACCTGATCACCTCCAAGTGTGCTTGCTTTCCCCAGAGAGAGGAGTCTGGCGAGGGGCCCACCTTGGAGAGGAGAGCTCTGAGCCCCGAGCCGCTGGCAGCCAGGCTCCCGCCCAGCCCATCCACTCGGCTCTGCCTTCGTCCCTCCCAGTTTCCACAGCCCGCCCCCAACGATTTCCTCCCTTCTCAGTCACTCGCTGCCTAGTGATCCATGGGTTTTAAATTATAACTGGGACCCAGGAAACGCATTCCTAAGTACAATATTCATGGGCTGGGCTGACACTTTTAATTAAGGTGATTTACACTGAATTATCCTTGGAAATAAAGAAATGGTGTGCTGCCCGGGAATAAACCATCATCACCAGCCGCCTTTGTAAGTTACACTTCGTTTTAATCTATTTGGGGAATTGTTTATCTAGTTCATTACCCAACCAAACACCGAGGCCAGCCTTAAATAAGGCTTAAGTGGGGGTGGGGGCAACTGCCATCTCCACACCCCGCCTCTCCTCTAGAGTCACCCAGCCTCCCTCTGGCTCCTTCCAGCCCCTTTAAAACACTGACTAGACCAGATCTCAGAGTGGCTGAGGAAGCCTCCAGAAAAAGGTCTCTGAGCTCAGGGCCCTCCAAGCCAAGCCTCAGTTTCAGCTCTGTGTGATCTCTGAAAGAGTCCAAGGTTCTTTCCTATTTCTGGGTAGAAACTCCTGTCTGAGGGCCACAGAGAAGTTGGGGACCACTGTCCAACCTGCCCGTCAATCTCCAGCTTCCATCTATGTTCCTGCCCGTCTGTCCCGTCTGTCTGTCTGTCCACATCCACTCCCCACACTGTCACCATCCCAAAGAAAGCTTACGGCACCCAGAGCTCTGTCTGCAGTCTCCTCCTTCCCTCAGATACCTGCTTCTCTACCATCGATACCATTCCCGTGAGTCAAGTCAGAAAGCCAAGTCAGTAAGTGCCCCACAAGTAATCAGCTAACTTCTCTTGCTTTGTCCCCCACCAGTCTCTCACCATTCTCTTTCTTCTCTGTTCCCACTGCCACTGCCATTGTCCTAGGTGAGCCGCATCATCTGGCCCCTGCCTAACTTCCTCACTTGCTTCCTTGCTTCTACCCCCCAATTCTGCTCCATGCCGCCTCCAGAGCGATTCTCCTACAGCTCAGCTCTCTGATTGAGCTTCTCAAGCTCACAGATGTTCTAATTTCCCCACGCTAAGTTGACCCTCCGGCATTGAAGGCTCTCCACTATCTGTCCCCAGTCTAACTTTGCTCTTCTTGGTCCAGCTGGCTGAGTCCTGGGGTAAGCTGGAATGCTTGTGCAGGACTAAGAGGGGTAAAGAGAGAGGATGAGGTGAGGGAGTGTGCGGGGGCACCACCTCTGATCTGGAATGTAAAAGTGTTTTGAGAAGTGTGAGTTCTTTGCCAGCAGAAGTTCTGACTCTTCTTCCTGGGTCTGTCTGCCTGTGTGCCTGTGGGGATGAGCATCTGTGGGAAGTGGTTCTTTGAGGGGGTAGGAGTGAGCACATGTATATATGTTGGAATGGGGTGGGGGGTTGTGCCTGTATGTTGTCTACATACATTTGTGTTGGTGTCTGTGAAAACCAGCCAGCCCTAGTGTGGGACACTCAGTCGTGTCCGACTGTTTGTGACCCCATGGCCAGAATAGTGGACTGGGTAGCTGTTCCCTTCTCCAGGGGATCTTCCCAACCCAGGGATCGGACCCAGGTCTCCAGCATTGCAGGCGGATTCTCTACCAGCTGAGCCACCAGGGAAGCCCAACCAGTGTGAGCCCTTCCGTGTGTCTAAAACAGCAGCATGCTCTGTGGGGGCCATGCTCTGCGCTGTTGGGCAGAAGCGGGCAGAGCGCGCAAACCAGGCCCACCCAGAGGGACCTCTGGGACCGACCCTGTGGGAGGGCGATGGAGGGAAGGGCACCCTGGCAGCAGCATCCACAGACTCAGGAGCTGGCCAGGCTGAGGGAAGGGGGTGGGGGCTGGGGGCAAAGGAGGCACAGGGAGGGTGAGAGGGGGAGGGGAAAGAAAGGACAGGAACTGAGAAGGGGACAGAGGGGAGGGCTGGAGAGCTGGGGAGGCCACAGTGGCTGGGGACGCCCTCACCTGGGTTCTGCCCAGAGCACTCTGAGCGATGCGCACACAGGCTCTGCCCTCCTGCAGGACTCGGTTTCCCCGCCTGTGAAATAACCTGGTCAAAGGCCCTTCTCAGGTCGGAACTGAGGTGGGGACGAGGAGAGAAGGGCTCTCTGAGCCCTCCCAACCTCCTCTCCTCTCCTCCGGCCTCCGGGAGAGCGGGCGGGGGCGGGGCAAGGGCAGCCAAGGCTGGGGGCCCTCCCCGCCCACCCGGGCGCCATGGCCCTCATCCCGGAGGGAGCTGACACGCTCCTTGGGAATTTATCACGCACCCAATTACAATGTTAATTGGCAAGTTCCTGAAATCAATTAATTCGCAAATTTTTTCCAATTAAAAATCCAGATAAATCACGAGGGCGGCGGCGGGGAGGTCCAGCCTGCAGTCCGGTGGGCGCAGCGGCCGCAGGGAGGGGGGCGCGAATAGGAGAGGGGAGGGGGCGGCGGGCGCGGCTGCCCTTGAACGCCTTTGCCGGCCGGTCGGACTGTCAGCGCGCCGGGCGCGGCGGGGCCGAGACAGATAAAACCATCGACCCGTCGCCGCCAGCGCTTCGGCTTTATCGATCCGACGGGAATTTCACTTGCTGTGCAGATCCCGCTGTCCGGCTGTCAGACACCGGGTTGAGGAGGGGGGAAACGTACCAGGGGTTAGGGGGTGCTGGGCTGGGCTTGGACGCAAGGGGCACAGACGTGGGGCACGCGTGACCTAACGGTGAGGGGCGGGGCTCCCGTGAGGCTGGGGGGCGGGGAGCGGAGAACGGACCGGGGCCAAAAGGTGTGAAAGTAGGGGACCCTCTGAGAGGCTGTGGGGCAGGAGGGATTGCCGGAGGGTCACGGGTGGGGGTGGAACACTTAATGTGGGCAGAAGTGGATGTCCTGAGCAGTGCGTGGATGGGGCCTCAGGGGCTAGGCTGTGGTGTGGCCCCCAGTGAGGAGGCAGAAAGAGAGCTTGGGCCCCCACTCTCCAGACCTTCCCTCCATCTCTGCCTCTGCCTCAGTTTCTGTTGAGAAGTCCTCCACCCAGAAGCACTCTTGCACAGCCAAGGTATGGAACTCAAATGCAGAAGGATGTTGCTTCCCCTCCCTGTTCTAGGCTAGTCCTGGGTGTGTGTTGCTGAGGGGAGGGGAAGTGGTTAAAATATGGGCTCTCGAGTCAGATTGCTTGGTTTTGACCCTTATCTTTACCACTTTACAGGCTGTGCAACCTTAGAGAAGTCACTTAAGCTCTCTGTATCTCAGTTTCCTTGTCTGTAAAATGGAGTTAATAATTATTACCTACCCCAGTGGTAGCCCTTCCCAGGTGGTGCAGTAAAGAATCTGCTGCAAGAGATGCAGGTTTGATCCCTGGGTCTGGAACATCCCCTGGAGTAGGAAATGGCAATCTGCTCCAGTATTTCTGCCTGGGAAAATTCCATGGACAGAGGAGCCTGGTGGACTACAGTCCATGGGGTTGCAAAAAGTGGGACAGGACTGAAGCAACTTAGCACACGCACGCACGCACACACACACACACACACGTACACGTGGTTGTTGTGAAGATTGAATAAATTAGTATAAAGTTCTTGGCACACAGCATTCAACAAGACTATTATTATCATCATTAGTACAGTCTCCTGTGGTAAGCCCACAGATTCTTTGGTACTCTTCCCTTCAAAGCTTCCCTGGTGGCTCAGCTGGTAAAAATCTGCTAGCAACGAAGGAGACCTGGGTTCGATCCCTGGGTTGGGAAGATCCCCTGGAGAAGGGAATGCTACCCACTCCAGTATTGTGGCCTGGAGAATCCCATGGACTGTATAGTCTGTGTGGTCTTAAAGAGTCGGACATGACTGAGCAACTTTCACTTTACTTCAAGAGGTAGAGCTTATAGTGTTTAATTCTCCTCTGTGGAGTGTGGGCTGGACTTGCTGACCTGCTTCTAGTGAGTACAGTAAAATATATTAGAAGCCATAGTGTATGACTTCCCAGACTAGATCGTAAAAGGCATTGTGGCTTCCTCTCTAGCCTCTCTCTTGTATCACTTCCTCTGTGGGAAGTCAACCGCCATGTCTTAGGGAAACTCTAGTAACCCTATGGAGAGACCTGCACGTTGAGGAACTGAGGCCTCCTGTCAACAGCTTGTGAGTGAACCATCCTGGGAAGGGGTCCTGCAGCCCCAGTCGAACCTTCAGACATCCTGGCTCCAGAAACTGTGAAATACTGTTTGCTGTTTTTAAGCCATGATGTTTGGGGAGAACTTGTAACACAGCAATAGATAAGTAGTGTTTTGACCTTCAAAATTCAGCCCAGGCCTCACCTCCCTCAGGAGGCCTTCTCTGCTCTGTGCTGGGTTCAGTACCTTCTTGTTTCTCCCACAGCTCCTGTTTGTCCCATAGAGCAGTCTCTGTCCCTCAAGGTTGCTAATGCCTCGCTCTCCTTACTCCTATTATGTATGAGCTCCTGAGGGTGGGACCATTTCTTTCTTTTTTTTAATTGAAGTATAGTTGATTTGCAACGTTGTGCCAGTACACACTGGAGAAGGCAATGGCACCCCACTCCAGTACTCTTGCCTGGAAAATCCCATGGACGTAGGAGCCTGGTAGGCTGCAGTCCATGGGGCCGTTAAGAGTCAGACACGACTGAGCGACTTCACTTTCACTTTCCACTTTAATGCATTGGAGAAGGAAATGGCAACCCACTCCAGTGTTCTTGCCTGCAGAATCCCAGGGACAGGGGAGCCTGGTGGGCTGCTATCTATGGGGTCGCATAGAGTCGGACACGACTCAAGCGACTTAGCAGCAGCAGCCAATACACGCTGTACACAATATAGTCTGCTATACACAATATAGTCTGCTGTACAACACAGTGACTCAGTTATATATATATATACTTTTTTTTTAAGTTTTCTTTTCCATTCTGATTTACCCTGGGAGATTGAATATAGTCCCCTGTGCGATACAGTAGGACCTTGTTGTTTATCCATTCTAAATGTAAGAAATAGTTTGCATCTACCAACCCCAAATCCCTAGTCCGTCCCTTTCCCTCCCTCCTCCTTGGCAACCACAAGTCTGTTCTCTATGTCTGTGAGTCTGTTTCTGTTTTGTGGATAAGTTCATTTGTTCCATATTTTAGATTCCACATATAAGGGACATCATATAGTATTTATCTTTCTCTTTCTAACTTACTTCACTTAGTAGGATAATCTCTGGTTGCCTCTGTATTGCTGCAAATGGCATTGTTTTGTTCCTTTTTATGACTCAGTATCATTCCATTGTGTATATGTACCACCTCTTCTTTATTCATCTGTCGATGGACATGTAGGTTGTTTCCATGGTTTGCCTGTTGTGAATAGTGATGCTATGAACACAGGGGTGCATGTATCTTTTTGAATTATAGTTTTGTCTGGGTATATGCCCAGGAGTGGCATTGCTGCATCATATGGTAATCCTATTTTTAGTTTTCTGAGGAATTTCCATACTGCTCTCCAAAGTGGCTACACCAACTTACATGGGACGATTTCTGGTTCACCTTTGGGCCCCTGCACCCTGCATGGAGGGTTAGGTGAGAAGGTAGAGGAAGGAGGCTCAGTCAAGTCTGCCGACTTGAACTGATCCAGGTTTGGGGACTGGGAATCATGGGGCAGGCTGTTCCCAGTGGCTGACCGTATTTCCCAGAATCGCTTGAGCCCACATGCTCTTCTGTAAGAGGAGCTTACCCCTTCTCCATCAAAAGGTGGGGTACATGTCCCTGCCCCTAAAATCTGGGTAGGTTAACACTGCCAAGAGAGTATAGCAGAAGTGATGTTAAGTGATTTCTTAGGTTAGGTTAATAAAAGGTGATCTAGCTTCGATCTCATTGGCTGGCACATTTTGCTTTCGTGCTTTCAGCTGCCACACTGTGAGCTATCATGCTCACAGGACAAGGAGCAGCCGTGTGTAAGTGCTTTGGTTACAGCCCCAGCTGAGGTCCCTGCTGACGGCCAACATCAACCACCAGACGTGTGAATGAAGGAGCCAGGTGATCCCAGCTCCCAGCCACCAAGCCTTCCTAGCCGGGGCCCCAGACAGGGTGAAGCAGACACAAGCCACCCCCTCTGTGTTCTGTCTGAATTCCTGACCCCACAGAGTCCATGAGCATCATGAAATGGTTGCTTTAAACCCCTAAGCTTTGGGGCAATTTGTTCCTCTGCTCCCTTTGACAACCTTGGCCTTTCTAGGAGGAGGCTCCACCGGGTCCTTCAGGCAGGGACAAGGAGGATGGGGTGGAGCAAGGGGGACACGCCTGAGCACGTTCTCAAGGTTGTCACCTTTCACACCTTGAGATTCGTAGGGAAGGTGGATGGCACCCCCAGGCTGCACTTCTCAGGGAGCTGCCAGCCCCAGTCCCTGCTTCTATTACCCTGCTCTGAGGCTCCTCCCCTTTCCAGGTCCTCCTGTGCCTTTTTGAGACTTAAGGCTCACTCTCCTCACATCTCCAGAAACAGAGCAAGCAGAGAAAGGCAGCACCATTCAGCTGGAGGAGCTGAGGATTGAAAGCCAGGTGGAGAATGGCAGCAGGGTCTTGCCGCCTGTGAGAGGCTGGGACCTGGTAGCCAGAACCCTGAGAGGAGGCCTCTGGCAGGTGGCTTACCTGGCGGGCAGCTGGGCCAGCTGCTCTAGTTCTTGCTCCATATGCTCCTGTAGCTCGCTGGGCCTCAGCAGGACCTGACAGATGGGGCAAATAGGGGCCTGGCTGTCAAACAGTGCTGCTGCCTTTTTCTTACCTGGTGAGGGAAGAAGAAGAGACAGACATATAAGCTGGGCTATATGTGGAGAGAAAAGCCATGTCCCAGTCCTCCACTCCAAGCCTCTGCTGCCTCCTAGGGCTTCTTGGCCCGGAGGAAGGGTGAGCCTGAGGGTCTCAGAGCCCATGCACATTATTCCACTTTGCAGCTCCAGAGGCTGTGGCCGTGCACAGCACCTCCTCAGCCAGCTGCCCCTCTCGGAAATCTATCAGGATGCAATCAATGCTCTGTGCAATCAAACCTTGATCACTTCATTTCACACGTTAGTGAAGCAGGTCTTGGTTTAATCACAGCATCAGCCAGAATATCCAAGGCCCCCTCTGTCACTCCTTTCCTCTCAGCTTTCACACTTTCCAAAGCGGGAGAAGAAAGAAAAGAGGGAGAAAAGGGATCGTTTTCCTGCAGTCATTCAACAAACATTGTCTGATGTCTGTGCTGAACCAGGCCTAGTGCATAGCAGTGGGGACACAGAATATAACCAGATCTAGTCCCTGCCCTGAGATACTCACAGTCGAGTGGGAAAGAGCGAAAAGGACCAGGGTGACTGCCAGGGTAGTATTCTCTCCCAGCCCCTCAGTTTTCCTCAGGCTCCTTTCCATGGCCTCTTCTTGCCTCTCTGCCTGTGGGACCATCTTGTGTATTCTTATTGGCTCTCACTCCCACCTGTGCCCTGCCGACATCCGTTTCTCTGCCCCAGATCCCTCCCATTTCTCCAGACCCCTATAGCCAAACACTTAATGGACATCAATGCCTGAATGTCCTACAAGAATCTCAAACTCAACCATCTAGAATCGAGTACTTGGACTTCGTTGGCAGTCCAGTGGTTAAGAATCCACCTGCCAATGCAGGGTACACAGGTTTGATCCCTGGTCTGGAAAGATGCCACATGCTGGGGAGCAACCAAGCCCGTGTACCACAACTAAGCCCATGTGCCCTAGAACCCAGCTCTGCAACAAGAGAAGCCACCGCAGTGAGAAGCCTGTGCACAACTGGAGAGTAACCCTGGCTTGCCACAAGAGAAAGACCACATGTGACAACAAAGACCCAGTGCTCTTCTCAGTGAAAGACGCCTGCACTCACTTGGTCACCCAAGCCAGCAACTTTCACTTTGCCCTCAGCCCCTTCCTTGCTATATGCCCCCTCCCACATTCATTTAACCACCAAGTCCTGTCCGTTCTGCTTCAGTATTCCTGGAATCTACATTCTCCCAGTTCAGGTCTCACTCCTCACTCGGATAACCTCACTGGCTGCTGTGAGTCTAACAGATTCTGAGCTCTTCCCCTCCAAAGTGCCTTTCAAATTGTGTACCCCCAATACACAAGCATACGTGGATCTAGCACTGGCTATGCTGACTTGGGGGCCTCCCGGGAGCCTAAACTCTGTCCCTGATGGTAACCAGAGCACACTCTGCTAGGAAAGGGCCTGGAGTTTGCCTAGTGCAATTCTTGGGATTCCTAAACCCCGACCCTTGCCACTCTCCCCAGCCAATGATCCCCTAGCCTTTGCTTATAGGCACAGGGTTGAGGAGCTCTATTCATCTAGAAACATCCCTGACTATCCATGTAAACTCTGATTGTAGGAAGGAATACTTTTTTAGCTTAAGGTCAGATCTTTCTCCCTGCTTCTTCTTTCTTCTGGTGCTTGGAGAGGGTCAAAATCAGCTTTTAGAGAGATAAAGTCCACGCCAGTGATGACTAAGGTGGTTGACTGGGTAGGGTTGCTAGATTAAATACAAAATGCCCAGTTGAATTTCACATAAACAATATTATTTTTAGTGTAAGTTTTCCATGGTAAAAGGGGGAAACTTATACTAAAAATAATATTAATTGTTTATGTGAAATGCAATTGGGCATCTTGTAGCTTCCCTGATAGCTCAGTTGGTAAAGAATCCACCTGCAATGCAGGAGACCCCGGTTCGATTCCTGGGTTGGGAAGATCTGATGGAAAAGGGATAGGCTACCCACTCCAATATTCTTGGGCTTCCCTTGTGGCTTAGCTGGTAAAGAATCCACCTGCGATGCAGGAGACCTGGGTTTGATCCCTGGGTTGGGAAGATCCCCTGGAGAAGGGAAAGGCTACCCAGTCCAGTTTCTGGCCTGAAGAATTCCATGGACTGTGTAGTCCATGGTCACAAAGAGTCGGACATGATAGAGCGACTTTCACTTTGACTTTAGTATAATTATGTCTCAACTATTGCACAGGATATACTTATGTTAAAAGTTATTCATTGTTTTTCTAAAATTCAGATTTACCCAAATGTCTTATATTTTTATTTGCTAGTTCTAGCAACCCTTTGTCTGAGGGAGTTCCCCATTCAGGCTGAACACAAGAACCTATCTCCCTTTGACACAATATAATAGCTCTCCTGGATGCCCAGACTAGATCAGCTGAGAACTCAGAGGAGGGAGTGATTCATCCCAGGTATGTGTTCTGAGGAGTGAAAAAAGAGAAGGCTTAAAACCAAAGAAACAAAATTTAAGATGTGCCTTAGAAGAATTCCAGGCAGAGAATGGGAGCAAAGGAATGAATGAATGAATGAATGAATGAATGATTAAGTTGTGAGCTTCTTGTGGGCGGGACCATTTCTTAGTCATTTTTTAATCTGTAGACAATTGAAAAAAGACCTGGCATAGATTAGATTCTCAGTGATGAAACAAAATAGTGGAGAAGACAAAGGGAAGGAGGAGAGGTAGAAATGAAGAGCTGATTATCCCAGAAGCCAGATGACCTTTGCAGAACCGGGAAGTCTACTCTGGAGGCTTTGTGTGTGGCAGGGTCGGGTAGGGGTGGCTCTAGTCGGTGTGGCTAGGTCTCTGAGGAGGGGAAGGGGTCTACTGATCATATGCCCTGGTCGCTGTGCCCCAGATGTTCAGGGGATAGCTGAAAGGCAGCTCTGAGTAAAAGAAGCAGATGTGGCCCTGGTCTCGGAGTGAAGAGGTGAGGATTCTAGACTCATTCTATAATAATCTTCATTCAGCCAGAGAATCTCAGAGGTGAGTGAGACCCTAGAAATTCGGCAAGCCATTATCTTTATTTTACAGGTGGGGAAACTGAGGCTCAGAACTGGGCAGGGATCCCTGTACTTGACTCGTGATCTCACTGCTTCATTTATTTATTCATTCATCAAATATTAATCAAACAGTTACTCTATGTCATGTATTATTCTAGGAGAAATGGGCTCAGAGATAAAGAAAACACAGTCTTGGCCTTAAGATCACAAACCAGCGAGAAAACTGGAAAAGAAAGTCAGTGACTGCAGTCAGTGCAGCCTTAGTCAGGGCTGAGGGAGGCAGGAATGGGTGCTTGTGGTGGTGATGGGGGGAGCAGGAAGGGGCCAGAGGAGAGTGGTAATGCTTGCTGGCGGGAATGGAGGATGACTAAGGGACAATTGACAAGGCTGCTGAAATCGAGCATTGAGGTAGGGGCTGGGACAGAAGGGGGAAATGGTGAGAGAAAAGAATAGAGAAAGGTTAGGATCTAGGGCATGAGGTCAGAGTTGAGGTGGAAATATCAGGGTTTCAGCCCCCTCCGCCTGGGGACCATATATGGTTCTTAGGACTGCCAGAGCCCCAGTTCCTCCCTCTCCACCTGGGAGCAGGCATCAGCATTCCCATATACCTGTGCTCAGTTCATCTGCTTTCCTGCCACAGGGATCTTCTATTTTTCCGAGCTTGGCCTCAGTTTCCCTGTTGGGACAATGGGTCCTCTTCCTGGCTCCCAACTTCAGGAAGAGCAGTCACAGGGATCAGCCCGGGGACCCCTCAGCCTATGGCCTGCATCCCATCCCCATGTTCTCAGGGGGTGTCAGCATAGCAGGTGTCAGCATGGCCATGGGCCCCCTGCTTCCCCTCCCCCACTGTGTTCCCTATAATTTTATATTGAGACCTGTGGTCATGACGTGGGTTTTACTGCACTAACGACATGGCCTGCCCAGGTTTAATGACAAAATCCATACTCTGGCCCTGGGCCTGCTCCTCGTTTGCATAATTCCCAGAATACAGCTCCCTGAAGCTTTTGACCTGGGCCATTACAGTGGCCATAAAACGGGCCATAAAACCGCTGGGGATGGCCCAGGGGAGGGGGCTGTGGTCCTTTGGGGGTGGGAAGGCACTCTTCAACCCCTTACTCTTCCGAGGCATCCTCGGACTCTCCTTCCACAATTCCCAGAATCTGGGAAGTCCCTCTCAGACTGGAGAGGCCTCCAGAAATCCTTAGTCCAGCTGCCCTTCTGATGCAGGAATCTCTTCTCCAACACCGCTGCCAGCATCGCAGGTAGGCAGACCAGCCCAGCAGGGGCAGGCTGTCAGAAAGCATCTTCTCCTTGAGCATTCTTCACTCCAGCCTGTGGCCCCCTACCCCTGAACCCACCAAAGCTCTCCGCCACAGGTGGATGCAGGTCAGAGGCGCCTAGGTTGAATCCCCTTCGGTCTTCAGGAAGCCTAGCTCCCTAGGGAGGTCAAGAGCCAGGCTGAGCAGCATCGTGGGGAGACGTGGGCAGCATGAGGGGCTGGGGACAGGGACTGGGACGGGCTGTCAGTGCTAAAGATGATGAATGGGGGAGGTGAGGCGGGAGGCCGGGTGTTATCGGCAGTGGATGGCGGCGCGGGCGCTCGCCGCTTCTGCTAATCCCCGGGCGCTGCCTCAGCCCTCGCACTGATAACGAGGAAATGGGACTGACAACAATTTTTAGCTGAGAGATTCTTCACCAAAATGCCAGGCGGCCGGAGGTCTGACAGCGCCTGATTGAGTGTGTGAGTGTGTCGAGGGGGAGGCGCGCGGCCCCCTCCCCTCCCATGCAAAGATGGATCGCTCATTCCGCCTCCCGTCCACATTCATTACTGCACCTCCCTCCCGCCACCCCGCCGCCGCCGCTGTGCCTGCCACCTCCGCTTCTCCGCCTGCCACAGGTATCCCCCCAGCAGGAGGAGGAAGGGCCGCAGAGGGGCCTGGCCCTACCCACAGCCTAACACAGGGCATCG